AATAATTAGGAAATATCAATGCAAGAGAAAAAAAGTACAGGAGCAGACAACATTTAGACCAAAAATTAATTAACCCATAGGAATATCAACGCAAGAAGAAAAAAGTGATATGAGTCCAACTGTTACCTGTATTTGTTCCTTGTTTCCAGCTGTGATATTGGAGACTGTCCAACAAGCCTCCTTCTTGATGCTCTTTTTAAAATTATTTTCCAAGAGGCTCAAAAGGCGTGGCAATGCTTGATGCTCGATAATACACTGTGTGTCAACAAGATTTGTCCATAACGACCAAAGACAAATTGGTTACAAACTATATAAAAGATAACATTCAAAATGTAAACACAAAAATCTTGCATTTGACTACAATTTAGGAGGGGGCATTCATGTGGTTTGAGTGAGGATATTATTGTTAAATGAAAAAAAAAGACAAAGTGGCTAATACCTGGGTTTGCGCATCATCTCTAGTGACAATATTTCCAACTGTGCGAAGAGCGGGAATCAGCACTGAAGGAGATGGATGCCTGTTTGAGCCACAGGATTTTAGATTTAGGTCAGGCAAACTAATCAGAAATATAAATACTTTTGAGAATAAATGAAGAGCAAATAATCTTAAGTTCTTAACTCACATCAAGAGTTCTATCAAACGCCCACACACACCAGCTTCGATAACAGCTTGAATTTTGTCATTTGTACCATCAGAAAGATATGAGAGAGCCCATCATGCATCAGTTAATACTTCATCATCATTTGAATGGATAAGATGAGCCAAAGCAGGAAGTGCAGGTTTAACCTTAACAAAACATAAAGGATAATTAGTAAAATGATAATTAATTCAACACCAGCAGTGAGTTGCCACATGATATCCAGCTAGACAATAATACTCTATATTCATAAGCCATCTAACTCTCTGGTCTAGTTTTAGCAATGTGCGATATCTCGCTCTCTGGTTTAGGTTAGCAATGTATTGTGATGTACAATTTCTTGATCCAACAAACAACCCACCATCTCGGATTTCAAAGACAGACAAAGTAACTTTAAAATTGTAAATCAATAACACTGAAAACAACCAAGCTTGCCAGTTTCCTCTTATCAAAAAAAAAAAAGAATCAACAGTTTCCAACAAAACAAAGGGGGACAGGGTCAAACCTGATCAAAGGGCGGTTGGGGTTTCCCCCTGCAAAAATTTGAGAGGGTCCATGTAGCATTTCTCAGCATAGAGAGTTTAGCATGCTCATTCAACAGGGCCAACAAAGGAAGCAGAGCGCCATGGCTAAGGACAAGATCACGACATCTAGGAGAATCACTAGCCACATTTCCCAATGCCCAGACAGCCTGAATGTTCAAAATGAAAAGAGAAAATAAGATTTTAAAAAATTTCCTACTAGCTTTTGTTAAGTAAAATTTCTCACTTCCTAATTCAGTCAATAACCAAAATTATACTAAATTCCCTTAACATGGATACCTGCTCACGAACATCATCACTTGGGGAACCAAGTAACTTCACAAAAATGGGAATAGCCCCATGATCAATTACCACCTTTGTGTTCTCCGATGTTCCAGAAGCAATATTAGTGAGGGCCCAGGCTGCCTCAAACTACAGAAATATTAAATTAATAAACCTTAATATATCTAGTAATATGAAATAATGAGATAATGTTGAAGCTGATAGAAAATCCAACCTGAAGCTGTGGAAAGTCCTCTCTCAAAAGGAACTCAACAAAGCGAGGAACAACTCCAGCTTGTATTACTTCCTCAATAGGCGGGCTATGTTCTGGGATAAATAATAAAAGATATTGAGGCATGTAATTTAATTGTTATATGACTATTAAACAAAATTTATTGCCGTTCTTACCAATTGAAAGCAATTTCCTAAACTGAGTAGTTGCCTCAAGCTGCAGGTTATTATCATCAGACCAGACACCAGCAACCATGGCAGGTAGATATTCCAACTGCAATCAAAGATTGAACATGGTCAGAACAAGTCAATGCTCAGTCAATACATAGATAGCCAAATCATCATACCATGCAAATAATTAGCAAGTGCAGTACAACATAAAAGGTGGAAAAAGAATCTATTGACAATATTCTCAATCAAAACAAAGCCCAAAACAATAATTATTAATTCGTCAATACAGTAAAAAAAACAAATATACGATCAAACAAAATTAAAACAAATAAAAATAGACCTTTTTCACAACAGCAGAGGAGTGAAGGGAAGCAGGCATAGGCTGAGCTTGGAGTCCTTCACGTCTCTTTTTCTGCAAACTCTCCTCACAGCGATTTTTTCTAATCTCCACCATGTTATCCTCCCTCCTCCGCCTCCCTTCCTCGGCATCGACTGCTACCTTATACCTATTTCTCCGAACTTCAGTTTTCGCGTTCGGCCTGAACGACATGACTTCAAAAATTACTAAAAACAAAAATGAAAACGGTCGAACAAAAACCCTAGAAAACTCTCTTTTCCAAAGATTTTGATTAATTTCAGATGGTACCAAACGGGAGACTTTATATGATTTATGGTCTGGATTGCATCCTAATTACCTTATTGCAATTAAATTAAAAAAAAATCTGAAACTATTAATTTATTTTATTTAAAATAAGATTTATTGCAATTAATAGAAAAACAAATAAGAATTTGATTTTTTTATTGAAAGATTAGATATTTAAATACTGTAGGACAACAGAAGTGAACTTGTTTACAAGCGGATATTTAACGTTAAATGTAATTTTATTTTAGAATTAATAGAAAACAAATAAGATTTATTGAATTTGTTAGAAATAAAATCCGTTATAAAATAACATTTAAATAAAATTAACTCTTCTCTCTAATTGTATATGTTGTCAAATTAATTACATTTAACGTCTTAATAACTTAAATATTATAAATCAATAATATTAATAATTAAAATAATATTTTTATAATTTAATAATTAAAAAATAATAAATATGACATAGGTTACCCCTACCTATAATTTATTCGGGCGATGGGTCCTTAATATTTTTAATCCTTCTTTAATAAAAATAATTTATTTAATGGTTTTATATTGGTATGTACGTACATGGTGCATATTGAAATCATAGTATACGATATTTATTGCGGATTTATCCTTTAGTTGTATTTTAATGTCGAACAAAATAGTTGCAATAATTACATTATCTTATTTTCTGATTTTGAATTGGACAAATAATTTTTAAGTTTTATTTCGTTTATTATCGGGAGTCAATTCGGAATGTGAAAAATTCAAATACAAAATAACTTTTATAAATTAATATTTGATATATGAATAATCTTTTTAAAATAATATTTTTTCGATTTCAATTTAAGTTCAATGTCTAAATTAATAAGATAATAATTTTTCGGAATACCCTTATATAAATTTAAGGTCCATTCAATTTTATAAATTAATAATTCTATAAAATTAGAAATATAACTAAGACAACTTAGTAAAATATGATTTTATTGTTGTTTACTTCTTCTTAAAATATAAATCTAATTACATTTCATGTCTAACTTTCCTTATTGTATCCAAAAGTTTAACTGTTGTGTGTGTTCTATATTGGACTTTAACTGGCTTTTAAATAAAAATTTTCATCAATTCACTATTACAAATCTTTTTAGATGCATGTGGTGTAATCCCTCCTATATTCATATAGTGCTTTACGTATTTGATCCGTCAAAGTTGAGTTTTGGACACCTTCTAGACGTGAAACCATGGTTGGTTGGTTTGGACCTGGATTGACTAATTACGAATGTTTGAAGTTGTTTATATAATGGTTGATTTCCTAACCATACATGAAATTGCATTAAGTTTGAACTAGTATTACATACTACAATGAACTTTATTTTTTTATTAATATATATTATATTTAAGTAGTCACATCGTACATGAACATCATTTGATTAGTCCATACAATATAATATTCTATTCATGAATAATAATGTAGGTTCATTTAATTAAAAAAAATCTTTTTATATTAATAAATTATTAATTTATAAATTAATTAATATATTTTTAAATTAATAAAATTATGCGGTGTCGGTATTATTAATTTATAATGGTTAATGGCGTCCATGCAATGCAAGTTGCAAAGATGATCAACTTTTGTAATCCACCCAATAGTCGTTTATGCGTACAAAAACTAAATAAATAAAGCAAAACAGAGACGAAAACACACCACCAAGAATATCTCCTTTTTTTTTTCTTTTAACATCATATGAACCAAGAACCTTCTCCTCTCAACTCACCACCGACGATCTCCCCCTCCCATCAATATGAGGCTCCCGTTCATTCAGTTACCATTATTATTTAAGGATAAATATATGCTTTTGGTCCTTAGAATTGAATTTAAGATTTATTTTGACACTTGAATTTTTGTTTTTCTAGTTTAGTAAATAAACTTGAAGTTTAAATTTAAAGTTGATATTCGAACATTTTTATTCAAGTGTATATTTTGAAGTTGAAATTTTAGTTTAAATTAGGATATAAACTTATTTTTATGATCCAAATAAATAATTCATCAAAAGTCATGTTTAACTACATAATTAAATTAAAAAATTGATTTAAAATTCAAAATAAAAATTCATACTTATTTTAAAAAATACATCATAGAGTTAAATACTAAATCATATTAAATCTTAAAATTACGTTAGATATAAAAATTATCATTATTTCCACGTTCAACAATTATGATCAATTGATTTCAACGATTAAAGTAGTTACTATTTTTTATTGAGATCTTGAATTTAATAATTAAAAAAATTATAAATAGATACTAATTTATAATTATTTTATACTAATAAAAAAGGTTACGAACAAAAGGGACTTTTTGTTGACATTAAACGTTAATTTTTTAAAATTAAAAATGAGAGATTTTATTAAAATCCATAAAATAAGTGACAACATTTTTGCAAGTTGCACAAAGGTTCTTAACTTTGCTCCTAACTAGCCAATCCCCCAATTCCGTAATGAAATAAATTAGCCCTGTATTTTAAGTTATTATGATAAATAGGGGGTGTAGAGCTAGTCATCGGCGAGAACAGCTCCGTTTCGCTGCATTACCTTTAGATGAAGTGACACGTGCTCTCTTCGTCTCCGTTGGATCATTGTTAACGTCGAAGCTCCTGCCATCTCCGCCAACTATATCGGCGAACATCCTTTGCAAATCCTCAAAACTGTCCTCCTAAGGTAAAAAGAGTACAAAAATCTATTGTATAATATTAATGCATTGTCATTTAAACCATAATTACTTATTTAGCCTTCTGATAATTAGAATCTCACGAGCAAACCTCATCTTTCACATTGATCATCATCGAGATCATCTCTTGCATAAAATCACAGAAGTCCTGCTCGCAAATCTTACAAAATTTAGGGGCTAAAATGGAAATAACACAAAAGAAGGTTTTCCATACGAAATTTAATGAATAAATAAAGACTCGAAGAATTGATATTGCAGTTGCAATGACATTTTCACTGAGCATGACGAAAGATCCGACACCGTTTTATATGCATTTATAACTAAATAAATAACTTCTAAAAGAATGAAAGAAGACAAATGAGATATTTTTACGTACTTCATCATCTTCTTCTATGGGATTGTAGAGACCGGCGTCATACATTGATCTCTTAGATTCGTCGGAGAGAACTGAGAAAAGATAATAGAAAATTTAAGGAATAAATAATTACACCATCAGGATTCAACGGCAATAAGGTAAAAGGGATCTAATACTGTTAGCAGAATAAGCTTCTTGGATCTGCTGAAACCGGCTTTTGGCTTCGCCGGCGACGACCGGATTTCTGGCGTATTTGTCCGGATGCCATTTCTTCAGAATTTTGAACATTATGCAAGTTATTTTTTATTTTTTTAGAATGAACATCTTAACCAAAACTAGAAAGATTGCAAAAGCAAAAAATGAAATGAAATGAAAGCGAGAAGTTTCTAATTACCAGAGCGAGCTTACGATAAGCAATGCGGATATCAGAGAAGGAGGCGTTCTTACGAATCCCAAGAACGGAGTAATAACAAGATCCTCCGTGGGATCCTCCCTCCCGATCCATCTCTGCCGTCCAAAATCCTCTATCTATACTTCCTCACTCTCTCTCTTACTCTCTTCAAGCAAACAAAACTACAAAAAGGAGAAGCATCAGTTTTTTTGCAGTCACTGTTGATTTTTATTTTTCCAGAGGGGGGAGGGGATGCTTGGGGAGAGAAAATATCTTGCGGAACTGTGGGATATATGAAGAAGGAACCTTCGGGAGATGCCGGCCTGATTAGTGATTAGTAGTCCTCCGAGCTACATATTTTATTGGCGGGGTTTCTAATGCCGCTGCTGTTCGTTTCAAATTACATGGTTGTCACCGAAATCCAAAAAGAAAAAAAATACTTGATAAAAGAATTGTCTAAACTGTACATATTTTATTATTTAGGTGTTTAATTTTTTTTTGATCAATTTAGAAATATAGTGTTTCAAATATTATAATTTAGGTACTTCAACCATTACCTACAATAAAAAAAAATCCATCAATCATTCAGAAGTCTTTATACATTTTTACATAATTTCTTTTTTTTTTAAAAATTAAAATTTTATTATTTTTAAAAAAACTCAAAATATTTTTAAAACTAAAAAAAAGTCTTAAAATCCTTAATCTCAAAACATCTACCCACCCGTTGATCCTCTATTACCGTTGTCGCCTCCACCAGTCGCATACCCACCCGTCGTTGGTCTTCAATTGTAGCTTAAAACCCTGAAATCTTTAAACTCAATACTTCAAATCTAAACTCTAAATCTCAATACATATCCATCTCAATCGACATGTGAATGGTCAGAGAGTGATTGACGAGTGAGTGATCGACATGTGAATTAGTGGTCGCCTACGAGTGAATTGAAAGTCTTGGAGTATTTTCTGAAAAATATGAAAAGTTGATTTTCTTTTTAAATTTTATGAATTATATATATTTTTAAACAAATAAAGGAAATAAAAAAGCAGATCACATGTCAAATACTGATTGGTTGATTTATTTTTAACGATTTTTTAACGGTCGTTACGTCGTAAGCACCTAAATGATAATATTGGAAACGTTAGACACCTAAATTGACAAAAAATGTTTAGACACCTAAATGATAAAAGGGGTATAGTTTGGACACTTACTTTTATATTTTTTAAAAACTAAACAATCTTTTTTTATCTACATTATTTTTTATTAAAATAAAAATTTAAATTATTATTTATAGTACTTTAAACATTTAAATTATTTTTTAACATATAATATCTTGTTGGTTGAATTTTTTTATTAAATAACGACAACATTTAAAATAATTACAAAATAATAATGTAAACATTCATTTAATAAAAAATAATTCATATATTAAAAAAATAATTTAAGTTTTTTTTTACTTTTAATTAAAAGAAAAACTAATGTTTTTGGACGAAAAGGGCATATAAATATTGATTTAATTATTACAGGTTCTCTTTCATAAAATCATAAGTGAAATAACAAAAAAAATGTGTTGAAGATTTTTTAAATATTATAACTCATAAACTGATTTTAATATTAAAGAAAAATTACATTTTAAAAGATTTAATATTCAAGTAATTATGCCTGTTTAGTATTCATATGTTGTTAATAAACTAAAAAACTATCTATTCAAGATACTACTTCGTAATTACATAAATTATTAAAAAAAATACTCTTTCAAATTAAATTTTTGTTGTTATTTTATTTAGATAAGTGATAAGCATTGATAGATCCATTTATTGTTTACGGTGGACACCCATATTTTTTGTTAATTATATTTATTTAATGGACTCACCTCGTACAAATTTTTTATGTTATTAATCAGTGACATATTCAAAAATTAAAAAATTAGAGTCCACAATTTTAATACATTTATTCTAAAAAATATTAAGTATATAATTTTTTATTCTCTTAATATATTAAATTATTTTTTATATTTTTTTAAATAATAGAATGTACATACTCCGTAAGGGTTAGTGCATCTACAAATCAAATAAAGAAGTAGGGAAAGTGAAAAAAATATCCAAAGTAAGTAAACATGAAATGCTGACTGTGAGGTTCGAACTCACGCGCATTTAAATGCAGCAGATCTTAAGTCTGCCCCCTTAACCTCTCGGGCAAATCAGCTGATGGGTTTTTAATTTTATTATAATATTTAATACTATGTAAGTCCAATTCCATAAAGCAGAAGTGTACGTATGTTACTTTGGGCTCTTTTGAAATTTGAATCATTCCTTAGGCCTCAAAGCACATGCCTTCTTTCTTCGGGCATCACTTCGATCAATTTCTTCCTTCAAAACTTTGGAAATTGGAATATTTAAATAGAAAGAAAATAATCTCAATCATAAATTGAGAAAAGGAAAATAAAATCTCTCATGAACCTTTTTGTAGGGATGCATTGAAGATAATTGATCGTTATCTCTACAAATTTTAAATTTTTATATAATTTACTACCTTTTTATATTTTCAATTAAAAATACGTTTCAATTTAAAAAGTTTAATAAATTCACTCCATAACATTAAAATTTTACAATCGTCCATCTCTGTTTGCAGGCATCGATAATTTTTAGGGTTAATTCATTCCTTTTTGAGCCGTCAAAGAGCCTGCTGTTTTAGGGCAGGATTCGCCCTCTTCCACAGTCTCCACCAATTCCCAAAACCTTTCTCTCAAATCCCTTTAGAATTTCAATAAGCTTATTCGAACTCATAACGTCCCACCTCTCCACACTCGCTATTGAATTACGTGAAAGGGTTGAATTTTGTTTGTATTTAAAGCTTGGCCATGTTACATTGACTTGACGGAATTTCGGGGATGAAGAAACTGAACGAGCCTCGAATACGAGGGAGTATGCTAGGAATGTAGTTATAGAATCTGGATCGATCGAGAAATTTAAAATTTATTTATTTGAAGCAGCACGAATCCTTTGATCTTGGTAGAGAAATAATTGTTATTATTCCTTAAGGTATCAGGTTTGAGCATCGATAATACAGGAGTATGAGTGATAAATATCAAATGATTAAGTCTTATATTATTTTATATTTATCTCCGATTAATAATAAAAAAATTTATTTGAAGGAATATTCTTTTTTAAAATCAAAATAAAAAATTCGGTGAAGAAAAAGAAAGGTACATCACAGTAGACATTTAGTTTTATCAGACAAGCAAAAGCGAAAGATACAAAGATTTCAGAAAATCCAAAAGAAACTAGTTGGTGCGTTTATCTTTATCCATTTAGAATCTTTTCTCTTTTCTGTTAGATCATATTGCAAGATTTTATTTTTTTAATATAGAGAATGTTTGGCTCGCGGGAAATGAAAGAAAACAGAAGAAATTATTTCTTGCTCTTATTGATGCAATTATTAGTCTAATTCTGAATCATTTGATATTTTTTCGTACATTTTCTCTTTGAAAACTTCCAAAGCTAATGACTTTGAGTTATTTTGTTCAAGCTCTTCATGGTTTGACTTTTGAAATTATCAAATTAATTATCATTTGCTTTGGTTTTTTGGTATGATTAAGCCAATGTTTGTTCAATTGTTTTGTAGAATATATGGTTTTATACTTTCCTATTTGCATGTTGATAAAATGGAGGGGAAAATAGAAAGAAAAAAAGTTGAAAAGGAATAAACATGTCATTAAACGCTTGCTTGAGTTGTTTGTTTTCCTGGATTCTGAACTGGATTTTGTATTTGATTTTTAGGATTAGTCATTCATATGAATTTAGCATTTGAAAAAGCTAAAATTACAGAATGGTACAAAACATATGTGATTATATGCGGTGTTCAAGCTAATGCTTCGTTTTTTTTTAATCTCACTTCAGTAGCATTGGCTGTGCCTTTTTGAAATGGGATTTGAGGAAAAAGCTACAAAGCTGCAAGATGACGAGAGGAAAGCTTGTGAAACGAAAACAATTTGCCTGCATGCTTTTATGGATCTAACCTATGTTGCTCCAGTAGTATTCTTATACCTTCTTAAAGAATGTTATGTTCATGGTAAAGTTTTCCTAATTTTCCTTCTTTTCACCGCTAATCTTATCATTCACTGGGAAAATGTTTCCCTGCCTTGTTTACTGTGTTGCAAGAAATTAGTTATAATGCAGTGGCTTTCCCTGCCTTTTTCTTGTCTGTTCTCATTCCCTGGAATGATTTGACAGGAAGCTTGAAGGCAACTAAAAAGTTCCGAGCTCTCTAACAAGTCCACCAAGTTTTAAGTAATTCTAACCAACCAGGACCAGCAACTTTTGTTGCTCATTGTCTCTATATCCTGCCTATTTTTGGATCATATTGTGAAGGCTTCGGTCATTTGATCGTATCTTCTTTTCATCGTTTTCTAAAGACTGAAGAGGCTGCTGGAGACTATTTGGAAGCAAAATCTTTAGCTGCACAGTTATTTCTTGATATTGTTGAGGGTTCTATTGACCATGACGAGATGATTGCTGTGAAGATACTCGAAGTGTTTGATGTCAGATTTACAGATATTGAGAAAGTTGCATCACAATCAAAGGCCAAGAATGACCGTAGGTTTCACAGTGTAAAGACATTTGTTGAGCAGTATATATTTGGATTGATAGAATCACATTCCTATACGGCAGCAGTGAATCTGTTGGAACATTTCTCTATCAATCAATCTGGGCAATCTTTTCTTCTCAAAATGATAGAAAACAAAGAATTCAGAGCAGCAGAGAAGTGGGCAACGTTTATGGGGCAACCAATGGTGTCCATACTCGTCCAGGAGTATGTTGTCAGGAACAAGCTAAAATTTGCTTATTTGATTGTAAAGAACAATCTCCAGCAAGAATTCCCAGATGTGCATCACAAATACAAAAGGTACCTGCAAATATCTTACTCCCCATACTGGCAACATGCTCTGCCCGCCTCGGATCCCAGAAACGACTTGGAGTAGAGGTGTTAAAAACATTAAATATGATACTATATTTTACCATTTTGTAGTGCACTAAAAAAGTTGGCAGAAAAAGCATGTTGGGATGCTGGTAAGTATACTTTTAAATGGATGATATCATTTTCAAAAGTCTATTTAATATGAAATGGAGCTTTGTAGTTTTTGCCAACTCATTTGTTTTTCTCAAATTTCTCATATACTTGTATGTTTCTATTCGTTGTTGATTTTGAATACTTGCTATGGATGTTAACAAATTTAATTTCTGGGTGTTAGGTTTATCTGGCCATGGAAGTTGGATACTTTGAGAAGGTTGATGAACTGTGTGATCGTTACTCCCTTGAAGGTTTTCCAAAAGCACAAGGTATCATTACTAAGAGGCCTTGTTTTTGGAAATAAAGGAACATGATACATAGAGCATGGATGTGTACCAAAACTTATAACCACCAATACCAACTCTAGTGCTTGGTGTTTATTCAGGCTTGGTGCCCGACGTGTAGATGTAAATAGATTTTCTAGGCTTCTTTGATGATTATGTGAAAGGCAGAGTCTCATGCTTCTAGTTATTCCCTTGTTCAGGACATTAATCAAGTTTTCTGCCTCATCGCTTTTTAAATCTTAGTGAATAGAAGCCATAGTTTGGGTGGACGAACTTAATGGTCTTGGTGAGGCTACATGCCACATTGAGGGATCCAAAGTTGTGGGCCTTGACAGTGAATGGAAACCCAATTATGTAAAAGGTATCAAACCAAACAAGGTAAGCATGGTATCATCTTCTTCCATTTCCTATGGTTTATGATCTCTCTTGATTGATATAGGCCTGGTCCTCGGAACATTTTTTGCTTAGAAACAAATTTGAAATGAATGTCAATCCTCTCTTTTATAAGTTAGTTCATTGTGAATTAGCGACAAGCTTGTATTGGATTGCATTGCCAAACCATAAGTGACTTGTTTGCATTTTTTGTTTATCAATTATGACTTATGATGACTGATCGAATTGTCCTTAAATAATTAATCCAGATTGCCATGTATCAGGTTTCTATCATGCAAATAGCTTCAGATACGAAGGTTTTCATATTTGACTTGATAAAATTATACAAGGATGTGCTTGCTGCTCTAGACAACTGCCTAACTCGCTTCTTGCAGTCCCCAAGAATTCTAAAACTTGGTATGAGAATCTGTCTTTTTCTGAAGAGGGAAATCTTCTCCTGGTACATGGATCCTTCTTTTCTAGTTATCTTGTTTGATATATCGAAACTATCTTGATACACACACACGAAAGTTTGCATTCTTGATTGTATGGTTTAAAAAGGAAGGCTGCCTATCTTAAACTAAAGCATCTCATGGTTATTGTAACAATACCCAGTTGGCTTTTTAACATGCTACACATGTTGTAGGTTATAGTTTTCAATGTGATGTAAAGCAACTAGCTCAATCATATGGAGATTTAAAGTGCTATAATATGCTATTGGACATCCAAAATATGTTCAAAGATCCCCGAGGTGGCCTCTCCAGTCTTGCATAGGTAAGCTAAACATGAAATTTGAGTTTATGCTTCCTGTCCTCTCAAATTCCATTTCAAATACAACTCTGTTTCTTTTTATCTTTTATTTCCCACAAATTTAATGGTTCACAACAATTCCTCCCACTCAGAAAATATTGGGAGCTGGCTTAAATAAAACAAGACGGAATAGCAACTGGGAACAAAGACCATTGACCGAGAATCAGGTATATATCCATGACTGTTCCATAAACTTTCATATTTGCAGCTTACATAAAGCAAGAAGGTATTGCAACTGTATTTACATTTTCTCTTGCATTTTTGTTCAGCTTGAGTATGCTGCTCTAGATGCTGCTGTTCTTATTCAAATATTCTACCATGTACGAGACCATTCCCATACTGCTAATGCATTAGACAGGCATGACAAAATCGAGTGGAAATCTCATATTGTAAGTACATGGTGACGCTCCTATGTTTAACCGCCGGTTAATGCCATCCGAGTCTTATTTTAGGATTATTTTGCAGGTTTCTCACATGGATAATCCAAAAAAGTCCAAAAGGGAATCAAGCCTTAGAAATAAACCGGAAGTCGAGAACCATGAACCATGAGCCATGAGAGTTTTTGTTTTCACACCAATCACATTACGACAAGGTCATAAATTGTTTCTATTTTAAGGTAATACCAATTTCTTGAGTTTACGACTGCGACATAGAGAAAAGTCTATATTAACTCGATTCTCAACCGGTTGATCTGCTAGGTAGCCCCACAGTACTGTGAACTTAAGTTCTGCCCGTACCATATTTTCCTTTTTATACATATATGCTGAAAGTCATATTTTGTAAATATGGTACAAATCTCAGGACTTCCTTTGTAGTTTAAGGCATGAATGTTTGTGTACACTGCAGCTAGGGTTTATACTGTATAAGGGTTTCTTGTGACAAGTCGAAATTGCAGGTATTGACATTTGAATCCCATACTTGTCGAATAATTTGAGAAATAGCACATGCAATTGATGTGATACATTTTCCTCTTCAATTAGGAGAAAGATTGTGATATGATTTGATAATGACAAGCTAACAACCCAATAATGTAATCATGGAACCTATAAGGCCTTTGCTTAAGATTGTAAAAAATAAAAATCATCTTCAACTATTTTGCTCACTCCCTTTTTCTTATGTAATTACGGATTATTATCAGACAGAAATAGGGGACTTTTCTTAAAGCAATTACAGCGTTAAATTTGCAATGTGACATGTAGGGTGAGTATTTAATTGAGTATGTGAGAAAGAAATGAATTAGTCCACGTTATGAGTATTATTTTATTATTTAATTTTTTTTTTCAAGTTGAGTTGAATCGAATATATTTATTTGGATTTTCATTTAAATTTAAGTGTAGTTATTTATAATGTTATACAATTGATTTGTTCAAATTACACAACTCTCTCTAATTATTATATATTCATATTTTTTACATGTGTAAATTTTGTAATGTTATTTAATAAATAATATATATTCTGAAATTAAATAATATATTTATGATATTATTTTTTAAAATCTTAATGAGGATAAAGCACTGTTGAGAGTATAAAAGAATCAAATAATTTATGGAAATAAAGAATTTTGAAGGAATTATAGTTAAATAATAAAATTTAATGAAATGCAAAGTTAAGAGGTTAAATTATAAAAGGATGGATTTTTTTCTTCAAAAAGAAGATTTGAAATTACATAGATATTTTTCGGTAGTTAAGAGACTAAATTATAAAAAGAAAATTTGGAAGCATGTGATTTTAATTTGGTAAAATTATATTTAAAATTTAAAATCTTGTAGAATCATAAATGTTCAAGTGTTAGTAAAATTTGATAAATATTGTTTTTGAATTGATTTTTTTTAATATATATATTTCTAGTGTGCTTATTATTGTCTTCCAAAATGATATTAATTGATTTTTTTTTGTGTTGAAGAAGTTTGTTGACACCTACATTCTTATTGGTTTGTTAAAGCAAGTCAAGATGATTTCAAAATTTCAATAAATTTTCATAAAATAGACAATTTCTTCATTCATTTAATTTCATTTTCTTCAACTTCTCGAGAAAATAAATATATTTTCAATAATTTACAAAAGTGTAATTTATTTATTTTTGAAATATGTATATGTTCTAAAAATTCTTAACTATTTGACAAATGAAAGCTCAAATACCCTTGCAGTTTCTGATGTTCGGAATCAAGCACCTTCAGGATAACAATTATTTCTTAAACTAATGAGATAGCTTAATTGATGCATGGAACATGAATTTTAAAACTTAACACTGTCGTTGGGGGAGACAAATAAGTGGAATGGTGAACCACGTGGAACCCATGCAGTAGACTGAATTTTCAAAATGCTATGTACATTATGCATGCCGCGAGGAAAACAAATAACACTGTTGTTGGTCGTGTGTCACGTCTTCCAAGCAGCGAGGAAGACCCGAAGCTCATGGTAAATCTGCTCCATGTGGCATGGCCATTGGTGAAAAGAGTTACAGAAGAAAATAAACGAGACAACGATAATTAATTGATTTGTTTCACAAGGGATGACCTTGGGTTCTTAAATTTCCATTAGCAGAGTGAGGTTGCGTATTGTACGATTGTTTCTGCAATATTTACTACTCAAACTCAGACCAGACAGACATTTGTACTCTTTTAAGCTCTGTAGATGTTTTTTTACTGTTAATTTTATAATCTGATTTCTGTAACTTATCTGGTATCAACTGAATCTGTCTCAAAGTATCTCTGCTATTGTCACTAAGATATTTTTTCCCCGGACTTGGATCTTTCTTTTCTGTCCATTTCTTACTTAGAAACCAAACCCATTGTTCTATCACTATTATTTTAGTTGCAATAAAAGGAAAAAGATATCCTTACCATACATGGAAGAAACCAAAAATGGTGCTTGGGTTTGAGTTGTAATAAGATTGAAGTTCTTTGTTCAATTGGAAGAACACCCTGTTTGATTTACTTGTTTTCATGTAGCTCCATTGTGCCAAAAGAAGGATCTTGGTGCTTGGATCATGGATTTTAACAGCTTTTGAATAATTCAAGGTGAGGGTTTTTTCTTACATGTTGGATCATTGAGATCTGATTATCTTGTTCATGAACTTTTTGTCAGAAAAAAACTCTGTTTTATTCAATTTCTTGCTTGAAAGATGATACATTGAGCAAATGAAAGTAAAACATTGGTGAGTTGTGATAATTATTTTTTCACATGGACCTTGTTTGATGAATCGATTTTCCCTTTTTGTTTTGGGTTTAAATAGTCGAGTTCTGTTGGTTTATAGATGCGATAATGGAGGTCGAAACGAAACATTCGAGGGGAGGACTTCTTAAATTGTTTGATTGGAATGGTAAATCTCAAAAGAAATTGTTCTCAAACAATGCTGTAATCTCAGGTATATATATATATGTATGTATCTGCTCTTCATCTGTATGTATAATATATTCGTAGTTCATGCACAAACCTGTTTATATTTCGAATTGTAGGAGAATCAAAGAGAGGAAAACCAGTGGAAAATCTACTGAAGTCGCCGCCTTGTAATGTGCGGTTTCAGCCCCTTTTTCCTTTTTCTGTACTGTAATTTGGGTAAGATTTTTAGTTTCGGACTATGTTGTTTACTTTTGTATTCTTTACCAGATGGATGGGGATGGCTACAATGGCGCTTCAAGTAATGCATGCTGTGCTGATTTTAGTTCTGCTTCCTCGGTGACTAGTTGTGAAGGATGTGGTCCATGTGGATCTAGAGCACCTGGACTTGTTGCTAGGCTCATGGGGTTGCACTCATTGCCTACACCGAATGTCTCCGAGCTGTCTTCTACCACAAGTTCGGGGTCTCGCAGCTATCAATGTATGGACCACACCGGCATCTCTAACAAGCTTGATAGTTCGTCTTCAAATCCCATTGATCCAAGGCTTCATAAGGTGCAGAACCGACCAATTGAGCGATTTCAGACTGAAATATTGCCTCCGAAGTCAGCAAAACCAATTCCAATAACTCACCATAAGCTCTCGTCTCCTGTCAAGAGTCCGGGGTTCATCTCAAACAAGAATGCAGCTTATATAATGGAGGCAGCTGCAAAGATTATCGAGGTTGGTCCTCGGACAACTTCCGAACATAAAGTGCCGTTGTTCAGGCCTTCTTCAATCCCTTTGAAAATCCGGGATTTGAAAGAGAAAATTGAAGCTGCACATAAGGTATCCAGACGTCAAAGATCTGACCAGCCTAGTCAGAGCGTAGCAAAGTCTTTGAAAGAACAACATAAGGGCAAGAGCCACAATAAATTGGATTTGGAAAAAGGTAGTTCTAACAGTTTGAGGAACAAGGGGAAACCGATCTCACTTGCAGAAAAAGGAAGGGTTAATGTTAGGAGGAAAGAGGGGCCGTTTTCTAGTGGTAATGGGAGTCCTGCAAATCCAAAGGAAGGGAATGATGCTAAAGGAAAACATTCTTCAAGGAGACAGGCAGATGTGCGAAAGAATGTTGAGAACGGAACTTCTGCGAATAGGACTAACAATGTCCTGAGGCAGAATAATCAGAAGCAGAACTGCATATCTAATAGAGACAATTCGACATCAAAGACTTCGACTCTGGACCAGCAAGGTAGAAAGGCTAGGTCCATAAACGGTGCAGTTGGGTTGAATAGGACTAAGTAAGGTGACAGTCAACTCCGAATCTCAATCCAGGAACATGAGCTCCTCTGCAGCTGGTCCTTCAAAGGAGCTTCTCATGTTTAGACGAAAGAATTTGTCTAGAAAGAAACAGCCTGTAAATGAGGATCTTCTTTCCGGAAAAACAATTTCCAAAAATTCATTGATGAGTGGCGGTGAAAGTTCCATCAAATGTAACGTTACTAGAACTTGTGGGAACTCGAATCAAGATGCAGAGACAACGAAGACAAGCATGGATGTTGTTTCATTTACATTTACATCTCCCATCAAAATATCCATGCCCAATGTACCTTCCACAAGTCATGTTGGGGAAACGAGCTGCTACTTTGATAGTGATCCTTCCAGAGACAATAATCCACTATTCTCAAAAAGCTCGGGTTTTTCTTCTCTCGGACTTAATATAATCGGTGGGGATGCTCTGAGTGTTATTTTGGTGGAAAAACTTGAGAAATTGACATATGGAATTGAGTCATCCAATTGCAATATCATTTTAGAGGAGACCTCATGTAGTCCTGCATCCAGTCAGAAAACTTCAGATATCTCATTGGGTACATTGATCACTACATCAATGGGACATCACGAAAGACTTCAGGTGGATCTAGAGAAAGACATATCACCTAGCTCCGCTGACTTAAATCGCTCTTCAATCGACAGTCCGGAGCTTGTTCGGAGAAGGAAGTGGGAGGTTTGGTTTCTGCTACCATTTACTTATATAATGGCATGTTTTGCTTATAATGGCATGTGTTACTTAAGTTTATCTAATGATGCCAGCTTTCAGAAGAAATTGAAGATCGAAATGCTAGAAGCAGCAGCAGTGAGACTGGCAAAGAATTAGATCTTCAACATCCTAGCCCACTTTCAACTCATGAACTTACTGCCACGAGCGATTGTTTCGCTGATAGTAGAGATAGTACCAGTGGTAAGCTGTACCCGTATTTCCTTGGGATTCAAGTTTCATCCACTTGACCAATTTCATTATATTTTATATTCAGCTAGAAACAATATGAGGTTTGCATAAATGTAACTTGTTGATTAGGTTTGCATAGATGAGTAATATGTAAACTCGGTAATCAAGTTGCTGCATTGACTTTACATTTGCAGGCATGATGCATTTGGCTCCTGATGAAGAAGTGTTAAGTTCGTCTCCTGGAATCGAGTCATCCCAAATTGTGGGAGAAATGGACGGAAAGCTTCCAACTACAACATCAAAATCAACAGATTTTAAAGAGTCGACCAATTCTGAACTTGATTATGTGAAAATGGTGCTAAAAGACTCTGAGCTAAAAAAGTTCATAGAATATGCATTGGGTCAGACTGATAATATCATGACCCTGAATGCTTTTAATCAGCTTGGGCATCAGAACGGAACTGATGGACATGGAGAAGATCACAACAAGGTCGAACTAAAACTTTTACTCGATTGCGTGCGTGAATCCCTGAAGTCACGGTACGACCAAGTTTTTGTCGGAAGCTGCAGAGGGTGGGATAAGTGGGGAGAATTGATCCAAAACAAAGGATGGTTAGCAGAAGAGTTATACAAAGAGGTATTGGGTTGGAGAAACATGGGGAACATATTGGTGGTGGACGACCTTGTAGGCAAGAATATGAACACAAAGCATGAGAGATGGCTTGATTTTGATACGGAAGCGTTTGAAGAGGGTTTAGAGGTTGAGAAAACTATATTAACTTGCTTACTTGATGAATTAGTTTTTGATTTGTTGCTTTAAGGCCATCTTAATCTTAAGATATCCCTTTTCTCCTTGCTGTAATTCACTGTCTAGCTAGCATATACGTCTATATTAACTTCATTCCGTGATTACAATTATTATAAATACTTATTATATTGTTGACAAAAATAATATTTAGATTAAATTGTGGCTAAAACTAATTACATTATTTTTAAAAAAAGTTATAAAATATTATGAGAATATATTTATAACATCAATAAAATATATTACTTTTATATAAACTATTTACATCTATAATGTTGGTGACCATAAGGTCCATAACACAACTTTTTAAACTTTACTGATTGTTGCTCTAGTTTAACCTGTTTTATTTATCAAACACTACCTTGTGGAGGCAATCACGGACCACATTGAGGCCACAAAACTCATGTTTACTTGCAATACTTATCTATGATGAAAGCAAATGAGCCATCATATTATTTGGGAAGCCTGCCATGGCCTGCCCTTCCTTTTTTTAATCTAAAAAAAAGAACATATATATATATATATGTATGTATGTATATGTTCCAGCTGAGCCTTGTGTAAAGAATGATAAACAGCATGAAGGTTTTTTCCTTTTCCTCTTTAAACTTTCCCAAATTTCGCTTCTTATTAGTGTAAAGAATAATTTTTTTTCATATTTCTTGGATCTCAGTTTGCCCATAGATAGGATAGATCCAGCAATTATAATAAGACAAGAATTAGTGTTAATGCAGAGTCCAGAGAGGCTGATCATATGCAGTTCGATGAGAGCAACATAAAGTCGATAAAAAACGAAATTGGAGATGCGGGGTATCGATCCCCGTACCTCTCGTACCATCTGAGCTACATCCCCTTTGTTGAAATTTATCAGAGTTTTTCTTATTGACAACATAAATTCAACTTAATCCTTGTTATTACATTCTTGGCCTGGCATGGTATCATGGCCTCAGGACAAGGTGGACGAGTAATTAAGAGTTGTTCAATATTTCCAAAGTTGGTTCCTGCAGGGCGAGGTGGACCAATAATTATAAGTTGTTTAATATTTGTGTCTGTCACATATCCGAATATATATGAGTACATGGTACGTACGGTCTTCCAAAGATTCACTAAATGCATAGAAAAATTTAGGAAAAAATAAATATACATGCGTTAGACATTCACATCCTAATCTGAATAACATAGCTGCTGGGTAAGAGGGAGATTTGGTGGAAAGAAAATAATAACAAGGATATATGATGTCATTTCTGTTAGTTCACTCTTTCTGGCTTGGGGTTTGTACATTTGAGCAACTTGTATATTCTGCTGACATTCTTGGTTGATTTTTACCGGCTTGATTACTGCTACATGCTGAAGAAGTTTAATCAGGACCATGCAAAGGCTAATTTTCTGACCCTCTCTCGACCACATTATCATGTTAAATTCTTTGACAAGTTTTGCCATTGGCATGATTATCAGACGCCAAACGACTCATTTTGACAAGTTTTTTTCTGACCCTCTCTCGTCCATGCGCAGTTGAATATTTTTGACAAATCAGCTTTTTTGCAGTGATATCTGATGAAGAGAAAATCCAAAGATTGCTAAGAACAGCAGACAAAAATTGCTGAAAATGGAAAAATAGGTAGAAAGGATTAGTGAAGCTGAGGGAGAAGAAATAAGAGAGATAAAGAGGAAAAAAATTGTTGGGGTTAATCTTAGATTCTGAGCTATAGAAAGACCGCAGGAAAAAGTTTCAGAAAAAAGCGAGCACTCTACCATTTGATTTACATCCTCTTTGTAGCTCTACCTACTTAATGTACTGAGAAAGCCACCTGAAACCATCTCCCAAGTTGACAATTTGTATGACATCCCTGCAATGGTGCGATGCTAGAGATGAAGAATAGCAACATACTAGATGCATATTACTACTAAAATTCTCGATTATCTAGTGATTAAAGCGTAGGAGTGTTTTCGTTTTAAAAAGTCACTTTATTTTCTTTTCCAAAATAAATTGTTTCACCCCTTCTATGCTCGTATCATCTAGCCATGCAACAAACTTCTCCTTATTTGACACTTGTAGAAAATCTGTTCTCCATATCATTTATAGAATCAACAAGGATTGTGGGAAAAGATATGTACCTTGGCATAGTAATCTTTCCAAACTCTTCGAGCAATCTGATGGCCTCCCAAATCAAAAGCCTTACACTTAATTTTCCCAATGCTCAATTCCTCGGATGTGGGATGTTGTGTTGGCTGATGCTGAACTAATCTCTGTCGAATCCCATCACCAAATTCCATAAAAAAAATCCAACTTCCAATTACTTATCATTGAAGAAATTATAGAACTCTATTAGAAAAAGGCAACAATATATTAACACAAATCTGACTCCCAGAATCGTAAAGTGGTGCATTGGCGATGTTTCATTTTGAAAAACCGTAAAACAGTGATGATACTGATAATGGGTGAAATGTGAAAAGTAGCTCGTCTTTGAGCATGTGAAGCAGCGTGGTTTTGTCGGCATTATCAATCCCCAGAAACAAGATCTTGGCGTCTTTTTGCCATAAACCAAGGGATGCAATGATCCCTTAGAAATCAGGTATATCAGAGCTACCAATCTCGGGCTGTTTCAGTTTCGGATCTTTACTTCTCACTGTTAATATTAAACTAAGCCTACCTACCATTAACGACTGTTGTAATCTTTTACTCCATTAAAAACTAGATCTTGAATCTTGATCACGAGATGTAATGTGGTAGTGTTTGTCTCGTCTCTTATTTACGAGATTAGTATTTAATTTTTATTTATAAAAATAAGATGTTTTTTATAATTAAATATTTATATCTTAATAAGTGTATAGCAATAACAGTATGAGTTGAGATTAAATTCTAATATATCGTACATTTTAGATACTAAAATTTGAGTTGGTGTTCAAATTACCACATTGAGAAAAGGGGACAAGAAAAAAGATGAGAGAATGAGAGAACAAAGTGATGCGGAATACAGCTATCGGATAGAGCAAAATCAGCACTGATAATTTGAAAAAATAAAAATGAAGATAAAGAAGACACTAATTTTACGTGAAAAACCCCTAAATAATATAGGGTAAAAACTACGGGCAAATATAGAAGAATTTCACTATGAGAAAATATGAATTACAACTTCTCTCGATCTAACAAGGAGAAAACAATGACAATTCTCTCTTGATAAAAAGGAGAAAACAACTCTCAATAAATTCTCTAGTATTGGTAGAAAATTAGAATGATTTGGGATAATTTTGAAGCTAAATGAACTATGATATTTATAGTTGAAGCTTAAGAACTAATCTTATAAATACCCTAAAATTTAGGGACTAAAGTTTGTGATTTTACCATTTAAAAATTCAACAAAATCATGTCCACTTGCACCATTTGCACCGAAAGTAATTGGCAACTTTGGTGCTTTGCCTCATTTTTCAACACAAAGTTATTGTATCCTTCAAAGAAAAATAAGAAAAAACAATACTTAAGGGGATGAAAAAAAGTCTCTATTTTCAATTAAGTTTGAGAAGATGAACTGTTCTTACAATAAATATCACTGTTTCAAGAAGAAGAAAAAAAGAATTAGACCTGATTTTATTAGCTCTAATACATATTCACATTAAAGGTGTGTTGTTTGTTAGCATGAACTTTTTTTCCGGCTAGGCGGATACAACAGATTTCAATTTGATCTAATATGGTATTATTTTTTATTTTAAAATATTTTGATTCGAATCGATTTTTTTAATTGTGGATCGAGTTGAGTCAAAGTTGAGTTTAGAATGAAAAAACTCAACCCGTTCCAATTCGAAATAATATTATATTAATCTTTTATATATTTATGAATAATTATAATAATACTCATCCTAAAAAAATTAATTAAAACCCTAAAAACATAATTATTTTGTACAAGCACAATGGAATTTTTTAATTCCAAAGGGGAGTTAAAAAAACATTAAAAAGCATAGTTATACTGTTATAAAAATAAAAGTTAAATAAATAAAAGTGGATGGTTTTTAACCCTAGGTAGTGGTCCGACTAATAATCCAATTAAAAATTTTGTGATATTGCATCCACAATTGATTATAATAAAACTTGTTTAGTGAATTGTAATATTTCTTATTTTGACTTCTTTACGTAAATGATTTTCCTTATAAAAACTAGCACTTCGAAATATTGTTGGACGACTGATTTACGGGTTTTAACTCAAAATTATTCAAATTGATATGAGATGGGCTCATCCCTAGCAGATGAGCTTGAATTGTTCAAACTGAATACATCTGACTGTAAATAAAACTAAAAAAAGACTGGCAAAAGTTAAAAACCAGGCAGCAATCAGTCGCAACTCATTCCAATGCAGCCTTTAATTCCATCTTCCCTACGCCCTAAAGCTACAAATACTAAAAGACGGGAACTTCTTTATGAGCACTTTCATGGCGCTTTTTCTATTGCGAAATTGAGGCCAAGGTACTGCACTGATATTCGTCTTAAAGCTCATCCTGCATGCAAAGGGACAATCACTTGATCAATTTAGGCACATATAAATTATGAATATTGATTACTAAAGACACAAAGGAAAATAACTACTTACACGTGCATCCTTCTCTTTCTCACTACTGTCGTTGCTTGTGTCTGATTTGCTTTCGGAATCAGACTCACTTCCATCACCACCGTCACTTTCATCGTCGTTGTCTTCGGCCTGGACAATCCGATAACACAATGAAAACAATAAAGAGCAAACAAAGCAATTATATCTTTAAGACGGCATGTTATAAGCTTACATCCGAAACTACAGTGCCGTCCTTTTTCTCTTCCTCCTCAAATGCAGCCTTCTCGGCCTGCAAAAGCCAACCAAATCAACCAAAAGAGGAATTTAAAAGTCAAAATGAACACTTCGAAATACATAGATGAACATACATCCTTGTGCTTGCCCCATGTTTCTTCAGCTAGCTTTTTAGCATACTCTACATCGTCAGCAAGTAAGATATTGTCAAAGAGTGTTCCAGATTTCACCTGACAAAACAAACATTTATCTTGTTATGGTCTAAAAGGGCATGGGATGATAATAGGATGTTAATAGAGAAAAAAAAAAGTGGCAAAAGAGTACCTGCCACAGTTCGATGCCAACATACTTCAAGTTGGGATAAACATAAAGATCGGGATCGTCCTTGAAATCTGTGGACCATATAAAAACACAGTAATAAAACACTTAAAGGTTTTGTTGTTAATAAGAAGAAGAAATCACACACTACAAAAGAAATAGAAATGAACCTGGGTTATCGATCTTTGGTGCCTTCCACTTGCCCTGGTAGTTGGGGTTCTTGATTTTCTGCAGAAAGAGAAAGAATTGTAGCGGAGTCATATTAAATGCTGCAAATTGGACAAGGATCTCACAAACCTTTGGCTTCCACGGACCCTTGTACTCTGGGTTGGGAATCGTTGGGGGTGTCCATTCACCATCTTCTTCATCATCCCAATCTTCAGGCTGGTGTAAATAATTTTAACCATTAACCCTCATTACAATCAAGACATAACATTTTATAATAGAGGCATTTAAGAAGAATTATATCACTACCTTCTTAGCATCAGGATCAGCAATCTCTTTTGGAATGTCATCATAGCCCTATGGTCAATCAAACACTAGAGATTAGCTTGCCTATATATGTAGTATAAGAAAACCAGAGAAAGGGTTAAAATGAGAAGGTTTTTACATCTGGTTTCTTGTCTTCAGGATCAGGGATTTGTTGCCTGTCATCCCAATCTTCAGGCTGCCATCATGCAAGGTACTTAGTTGTATCCAATATTCATACAACAAAAACAAAAAACAAAAAATACATTATTTGTGACTAATTACCTTCTTGGCATTGGGATCCTTGATTCTCTTCGGTGGGAGAAGTTCCCACTCCGTGTAGAAGCTACCTTTTCGTTTCTCAACATTATCAATAAGAATGCTAAAGGTAGCGTCTGGACGGAGGATAAATGTGTAAACATGAGTGAGTTGATCAGTCTCACACGGAACTTCCTTTTTGATCAAGTGGTTTGTCCCGTTGTAGTGAAGAATAGCATGTGTTCTCTTGATGCTTCCACATACATCAGGCCCAAACATAATGCTACACCCAACCAACATAACAAAAAATAAAAAAAAATCTATAATAACATACTTTAGAGATCACAGGGTAAGAAAATAAGACCTGTATGGGGTTTCACCACCGAATTGCTTCTGGTCAATGTCAACACTAATCAGTTTCATATAGCCACCACCACAATCAATCTTCTGCTCATGCTTGACAGAAAATTGGAATACTAGAGTCTTGCCCTTGTTGTTAACTGCAGGGAACTTAGCCGAAATAGCGTAGAACCTGTGGTCTTCACTTGTTTGTATACCTGTACAAAATATGAAGCCATTAGTAAAGCATGAAACAGAGGAGTTAAAAGCTACCTTCATCAATTCCGAGCTACAAGTATTCTAGAAGGTTACCTTTGTCATTAGGATCGCCATTCCATTTTCCAGCAGTGTAATTCCATTCCCCGGCCAAGTTCTCATCTTTCTTCCAGTCAGATTTTACCCATCGACTTTCCCATCCATCTTCAATTTCACAACAATAGCAAAATCACCCCCAAAAAAAGAGAAAAAAAGTAAAAATCCCGCTGTTTGAAAACAGTGAACCGTACGATAAAATTAGAAGCAGCTTCTATTTCAATTGTTAATAGGAAGCAGAATCTCAGGAATGAAACCAGGCATAGAACGCTTAAACTAAATTATTGCTAAGAACTACTGTTTTCATTCCCTTACCCCTTATCAAATCAAAAAATTAATTAATTAACACATAATAATAATATTAATAATCGTTCTATTCTATTATTCTCTCCAGTTACAGATCAATCGAAACATTACACTAATTCACTGTCATTTCTTAAAAGAATTCAAATACATTTCTAATAATATATATATTAGAACCTTATATGAAAACAGATTATGCACAGAACAACAGAAACACAATACGTCAATCCGCAGCCATTTCTTAATGGAATCATATACATTTCTAATAATTATATTTTAAAAATTAGAAACCGATATGAAAACAGATTATGTGCAGATCAATCGAAACACAGGAACCTAATTCACTGCCGATTCACAAAGAATTCAAATATTTAAAAATACAACTTTATATGAAAACAAATTACTTGCAGATCTATTCGAACTTATTACATTCTTTTTACGTAAGTAAGCATCGAGTGAAGAAACCATCGAAAACAACTAGATAGCCTACTTAGCATGTAAAATTAACCGATCCGTTCATGTTAGATCAAAATGAAATCGTAAAACTCTTAAGAAAAACAGATTCAAAGGACAAAAACAAGCCGATCTAAAAAATACGAATTTACGATACAATGCATGTAGATTTCGTAATAGAAAGTGGAGGAAAATGCGTAAGAAAGAGATTATACCATCGAAGCGTTCTTCGAAGAACACTTCAGCAGAGGCAATGACGAAGAAAGAGACGATGATCAGAAAGATAAAATTAGGGATTCGTTTGTGAATTGCCATAGCTGAATTCCACGAAGCGAGAAAGTAGAAGTGCCTACTGATAGTGTGATGGGGTGTAGGTAACCCTTTATAATATACTCGTTCTGAAAATTTCCACGGGTTTTTCACGGCTCATCTAAAATGATGTAACGTTTATTCTTGGTTAATATGACGTGGACTGAAGTTAATGTACGCAGCCAATCGTTTGATGACATGTCATTCACAAGTGTCATTATGTTGACGAGGCCAAAACTTATTGGCATTGAATTTAGCGTGAAGCGTAGAAGGATTTTGCCCTGTTCTGTTTTTTTGGTAATTGTGTAAAACGTGGCAGGCAGGCAGTGGTCCATAGAGACCTCCACCTAGACGTTAGTTTTTTAACTCTGAAGCCGTGGAAGCAGATTATTATTTAAGTCTCTTAATTAATAATTAAAGACCAGCCTTTTATTAGCCGTTGGATTTCAACATTATCATCTCCTAACAACCATTCCTACTATTTCTGTGAATTGGACAAATAGAATTGATTTTGGATTAGATTTTCTTGTTAGTTTTGAGTATAGCTGTTAGGTTGTTTTAGATTGAGTCATTCATGTTTGATACTTGGGTTTTTTTTTTATGCAGATTTATTATTGACTTCAATAGTTTATGGTTTAAGTTATTTCATATTATTTATTAGGATATATTGAAGAATTTTTTGAATCAATACAGTTTGAGGGGACTATTTAAAATTCTTTAAAAAATATGGATATTTAAATTAATTTTTAATTTTTTAAAGATTTAAATAAACAAATTAAAAAAAGGAAGTTTAATTATTTTTTAAGGGTAAATTCACAAATGGTCTCCGACTATAGGATATTATATTTTGTCGAGTCTTTCGACTATTAAAAGTTATAAAATGGACCCTGACTATAGGGAGTTGTTTTGTTGAGTTCTTCGACTATTAAAAGTTATAAAATGGTCACCCGACTATTTATTATGTTCCAAACTCATCCTTTCATGTTAAAGAATTAATGGTCGTATGAGGTGGACGTTAACATGTTGATTGAGATATGATAGTTGTTTAATATTATGAGATCATATTTTATCATATTTCAGTCAACAAGTTAAGGTCCAGCTCAGACTGCCGTCAAATTTTTAACAAAAATGACAAGTTTAGAATATAATGAATAGTCAGATGACCGTTTTATAACTTTTAATAGTCGATGGACTCAACAGAACAACTTCCTATAGTCAGGAGATCATTTTGTAACTTTTAATAATCAAAGTACGCAACAAAGCCAATATCTTATGGACGAAGGACTATTTGTGTTTACCTTTTTTAAACATCTTTTTGAAAAAATTGAGGAACTTTTCGTATCAATTTTACCTTTAATATTAAAAAATAAAAAAAATCATTAATTAAGCAATACAAAATTTTAATTATTTAAGTTTATAAATTTTTATAATTGTCATGTCAGTAATTAAGAATGATAACGGGTTGAGTTGAGTTTTTTTGTCAATCCGATCTGATTCAATAAATACACTTATTCAATATGAATTTGATTCGACACGAGAAGTATATCCCTCTAATTGACCCAATCTGAGAAGTATATCTCCCCACTTGACCCGATCCGACCCGAGAAGCATATTTCTTCAACTGGAATTCGACTCGATCCAGATTAAATATAAATAATTATCTTTATTCTATAAAAAGGGACCTAATTGAAAAAAAAAAACTATAGAGAGATGAGTATTATAACAATTATATTCTTAAATGTATAGAAAAAAAATTCTCGGGTCAGATCAAAGATTTTTCACAGTAAATCCAAACTCAACCCGACCTCACTCTTTAAAAATTTCAACCTCACTTGAACTCAAATTTTTTTAAAAAAAGAAAATTTCAACCTTATCAGATCAAATTGGGTCAAAATCTATCATGTTCGAGTTAAATTATCATCATGTCAATAATTAACAATAACATTAAATAGAATCTAAAGGAAATATCAAGATTTTCAAATAAAAAAGTAATATTGACTCAATTTTATAAAAATAAAAGTAAATTTTAAAATAGTGCATTATCTTTAATATATTTAAACCTTGCTAGACATTATTTTGTTAGTATACTGAGTATTTTAGCGGTATAAATGTTGGGTTATTGCCCTTTAATTATGAGTCGATAAACAAAAATCCATAATCATTAGATAAAGCGAAGTTTGATAAAGTCTCTTCTTGTCAATGGAATTCATGGAGTAGTTGTTTTTAAAGATACAACAAATTTTGATGAAAAAAGAAAAGATATGGTACCCAAAAATACTAAACGGATTTAAATTTATTTATTGATATTAAAAATGATTTTTCCTTTAGAGCACTTTGAAAAGCAAGCCGCCATGTGCGGCAAAGAATGGAGCAAACACCAATGACTCAACCGCCATGAGCTTAATGAGGATGTTGAGTGATGGTCCAGAAGTGTCCTTGAGTGGATCTCCTATTGTATCACCTATCACTGCAGCTTTGTGACAATCCGAACCCTTTGGACCCAGTGACTTCGCATGCTCGCTACCACCTGCCTCAATATATTTCTTGGCGTTATCCCATGCTCCTCCTGTGTTGGAAGCTGAGATGGCAACTTGGACGCCCGATACCAGTGAGCCGGCTAGGACACCGGCCAGAGTTTCGACTCCGAAGAAGGTTCCAACGATAAGCGGAGTAAGCATAACAAGTGCACCGGGTGGTATCATTTCCCTCAGTGAGGCATCGGTTGAGATCTTGACACAGTTTGCGTAGTCTGGTTTAGCCGTGCCTTCCATTAGTCCCGGAATCGAATTGAATTGCCGACGAACTTCTTCGACCATTTTGAGAGCCGCACTCCCGACGCTCTTCATTGTCATGGCTGAAAACCAGTAGGGTAGCATGGCTCCAACTATTAGGCCAATGAAGACCTTTGGTGTCAATACGTCGACTGACTCAATGCCTGCTCGGCTAACGTAGGCGCCAAATAGAGCGAGAGATACAAGTGCAGCGGAACCAATCGCAAATCCCTGAAATGCAATGAGAGAAACATGTCTGGAATTCTTAAGTACGAACAATGAATTTGAAGAGAACAAAAAAAGATCATGGAATGAACATAATATGCTTACCTTGCCGATAGCGGCAGTGGTGTTTCCCGCAGCGTCTAAAGCATCGGTCCTTTCGCGTATCGAGTGGCTCATGCCAGCCATTTCAGCAATACCACCAGCATTGTCACTTATGGGACCATAAGCATCAATGGCAAGACCAGTAGCTATAGTACTGAGCATTCCCAAAGCGGCCATGGCGATTCCGTACATCGCAGCCAGTCTAAAGCTCACGTAAATAGAAGTGGCAATGGCAAATATGGGAATGATGACAGATTTGTACCCCAGAGCCAACCCGAAAATCACATTCGTTGCAGCACCTGTCCGGCAAGAATCCGCCACATCCTGCACCGGACTGCAGGTATTTGAAGAGGATGGTAAGCATCATCGATAGCAAATGACTACTCCAATTAAGTAATCTTACGGTCCTTACCTGTAAGCATTGCTAGTATAGTATTCTGTAATGTATCCAATAACAAGTCCAGCCCACAAGCCAATAGCAACACAGAAGAAAAGGTGCCTGAATTACACATAAATTGATAAGACTTAAAGAAAAGACGGTCGGAAGTCGGAACCTTCAAATGAAGAGACAACAGTTTACAGGTTGCATACCAGTTCTTCACCAGCTTTTCAGTTCCGAAATCGAAGAGAGTGAATTCCGACGGCAATGCCAAGAAGCTGACGATGGCAATCCCAGCAGTCATCAGGACAGTGGAGATAAGGAGTTGCCGTTTCAAAGATGGTTCAATTTCACTTACTTTCTTAATCTCAAACATATCAGTTGCAAAGATTGTAGTTATCAAGCAAACCACAATTCCCATTGAACTAATGATCAAGGGGTAAGACATTGAAGTAAAGTCATGATTGATACCAAAGGATGATATTGATGCAACAAAAAGGGCTGCACATGTTGATTCAGCATAAGATCCGAACAGATCGGAACCCATCCCAGCAATATCTCCGACATTATCGCCCACATTATCGGCAATAACCTGTATAAGTGCCACACTATCTAACAATTTGCGGGACTAAAGCATTTGTCCAAAGCTAGCCAATATGGAGATATGTAAAAGCTAAACAACAAACACAACTTATACTAGGCTAATAGGTTCAGCAAAGTGAAAAAAAAGGAACTGTAGGAACTTACAGCAGGATTTCGCGGATCGTCTTCAGGGATATTTCTCTCGACTTTACCGACAAGATCAGCACCGACATCGGCTGCTTTTGTATATATTCCTCCCCCAACTCTTCCAAAGAGGGCCATAGAAGAACCGCCAAGACCATAACCAGTAATAGATTCAAAAAGTCCCTCCCAGTCATCACCATAGTACAGTTTAAACAAATTGATGGATATATAAAGAACCAAAAGGCCATTGGCAGCAAGGAGGAAACCCATGACCGCTCCCGAACGAAAAGCTATTATAAATGCCTTCCCAACACCTCTCCTTGCCTCTAGAGTGGTCCTAGCATTGGCATAAGTTGCAATCTTCATCCCTAGAAAACCCGAGAGAACCGAAGTAAGAGCCCCGAGCAAGAAAGCGATCGTGCTAAAGGCGGCATTCGCCAAGGCCGGTTTGCAAGTATTTCCTTGGTTATATGTGCATGGTTCACTTTCAGTGCTGAATCCCTTAACCGAACCAAGGAAGAGGAAGATGATGACAGCAAATACGCCCATGAAGATGCCGAGGTACTTGTACTCGGTATAAAGGAAAGAAGTTGCACCTGGGAACATGATACAGACGGGTAAGAACTCAGCCATAAACAGATCAAGTTAATCTATTGAATGTGAGATGATAGAGAAGAAACAGAGCTTACCAACAGAAATGGCATGTTGAATCTCAGCACACTTGATCGAAACCTCAAGATTGTCAACGCCCTCTTCTTCTTCATCAGCTTCAATCAGCTTTGCTTTATATCCATTGCTCTGATCGTATGATGAGACCTTCACCTTGGAGACCAAAAACCATTGAAGCAAAGCAAAACCAATGCCTACCAAGGCAGCTATGGGTATCAAAAACTGGGTAAGATTCTCACTCAAGGCACCCATTTCCACAAACTCTCAATCTTCGAGGAGGAGAGACAATAAGATCAAAATGGTAATATTTACTTGATCCTATATTATTAAGATTCAACTATTTTTAAAATTATGAGATTATTAAATCATGGATCAATGGCATTTTCTTTGATTATTACTTGAAAGACAAGAAATAATGTTTTATTATATATATTTTTCTTGACTTTGATGCGTACGTCAGAACAAGGACTTGGATTGAAACAGGCAGTTAAGGGGAATTGAATGGATGAGATTTGATGGATTCAACCTGACAATAAAACAGAGCCTGGAGAAAGTATTATTTACCTATGATACTCAATTTAATTGTATCACATACAAGAACACACAGAACGAACAAAATTTTAAAATTTTAGGAGATAACAAAATTTTAAAATTTTAGGAGATAATAATTTATTAAAGAGACGAAAACATATTATCAACAAAAATGTAAACAAATATCTAAATATATGATTATTTAAATTTTTTGAAAGGGATGACTATTCCCAACCAATTCCTCGATCCATACCTACATATGTTCAGTTCCTTTCCTATATTTCTTTCATATATATCCAGGTTATATTGTCGTAACTATTTTGGAATTACTAAAGATAAACACAATTATTTAAGAACATGAAAAATCAAGCAGGCAATGTGCCAAATTGCCAATATCATTGCATTTTGAGTATTTATCAATTAATTGCAATATTCATGTACCGAAATTTTTAAATCTCAAGATAGTTTATACAAGAAGAAAAAAATATTTTCTCTACTGTTGAAAAATCGGGTAAAGAAAACGGAAAGAACACAATAATTTTAACGAGGTTCAGCAATGTGCTTACGTCCTCGGTGCCCTTGGCGGTGCTAGAATTTTTATTCAATGTTTCATAGGTTTTTGTTACATCTCTTTTTATAATAAATAAACACTGGTACATATTTACAAAATAATCCTATATCGGTAAATTTATGAGACATACCTAACATCCACGAATTTGTATAATTAAAGTGTGATTTGAATTTTATTTTGATTTAATTCGTAAAATCCAGTATAATTCATTTAATAAAACAAATACATTGGCAAAAAGGAAACAAGTCATATGTGGGCTTTGACTAGTGATAGCAATGGGTCAGATTTTCGATCAATCTAACTCGAGAAACATACTCTTTATAATGGAGTTATTGTTGAGGAATTCGGGTTAATTTCCACCAATAATAACAAATTCACCTTGAAAACTATTATCTAGGTGACTAGTGTGAAAACGATTGTACTAAAAATCACCCCAATGTAGATTCCCAGGAAAGAGTGGAGGGGTCACAATGGTCCCTCTTAAAACCCACTCTCATTAGACAGAACTACTAAGACAAGTAATTTTAATAGAACAATAATTAACAACAACTATACCCGACAATATCTATTAAATAGACATAAAAGATAACACCAAAATTTAACGAGGTTAGGCCAAAATTAAACCTACGTCCTCGAACACTACTAAAATAATATTTCACTAATAGAGGAAATATTACAAAGAGAGAGAAAGAGTACAAATAGCCTTTAATATAGAAGAAAACTTATATTTGTGGGATGCTAAATTAAGAAGGAGGAGGGCTCTATTTCTAATAAAAGAATTTCCTTCTCCTTATACAAAACCAATGTGGGATTCAAAATTTGCCAAAAAATCAACAAATCTCCACATTGGCAAATTCCACACACATCTCTCAAAAATCCAATCTTCAGTAGTGTCTAAACTCATCTTTCAATTTGTAACAATGTTGACCAAGTCTAAACAATGTTTAAACTTAACCGCAATTACCACTTTTGTCAACATATTAGCAGGATTCTCAGTGGTCCGAATCTTCTGGATTATGACTTCACCTTCTTCTAGAATCTCTCGTACAAAGTGATATCGAACATCGATGTGCTTCGTCCTTGCATGGTAAACCTTTTTTTTATTAATTAAATAGCACTTTGACTTTCACAATGCACTTTGATGTGCTTCTGTTCCATTCCCAATTCACCAAGCAACCCTTGAAGCCAAATTGCCTCCTTCACAACCTCTGTAACTGCCATATACTCTGCCTCTATAGTAGACAAAGCCACTGTTGACTGTAAGGTGGACTTCCAACTGACTGGTGCTTTTGCAAATGTAAACACATAACCAGTAGTTGATCGACGCTTGTCCAAATCACCTGCATAGTCTGAATCACAATACCCAACTACACACTGACCATCTTGTTTGTCCTGCTGAAAGACCAAACCAACATCTACGGTGTTTAGAATATACCGCAGAATCCATTTCACAGCTTGCTAATGCTACTTTCCAAGATCATGCATATACCTGCTCACAACCCCAACTGCCTGTGAAATATCAGGTCTCGTACACACTATTGCATACATCAAGCTACCAACAGCACTTGCATATGGAACCTTTGACATGTATTCCCATTCTGCATCATCCTTAGGTGACATGGATGCACCGAGCTTGAAATGAGGAGCAAGAGGTGTATTAACTGGTTTTGACTTCTCATTCATTCCAAAACGTTTTAGTACCTTCCTCAGATATTCTTTCTGAGACAAACAAAGCCTCCCCAATTTCTTATCCCTTGATATCTCCATGCCTAGAATCTTCTTCGCTTCACCAAGATCCTTCATCTCAAGCTCCCTGTTCAATTGAGTCTTTAGTTTCACAATTTCTGTCTGACACCTGGAAGCTATCAGTATATCATCAACATAAAGAAGAAGATATACATAGGATCCGTCTTGTAGCTTGCGTAAATACACACAATAATCATATTTACTTCTTGTGTACTTCTGCCCTATCATAAACTTGTCAAATCGCTTTTACCACTGCCTTGGAGATTGCTTCAATATGTATTTTTCTAATTTGCACACCATCTCTTCTTTTTCAGCAACTTTGAATCCATCTGGCTGAGTCATGTAGATTTCCTCATCTAAGTCTCCATGTAAAAATGTAGTTTTTACATCCATCTGAACTAGTTCCAAATCCAACTGCGCTACCAAAGCCAACAAAATTCTGATGGAGGAATGTTTTACAACTGGAAAAAATACTTCATTATAATCAACTCCCTCCGTTTGAGCGTAGCCTTTAGCCATCAACCTTGCTTTGTAGCAGATGTTATTCTTGTCAAGAAATCCATCTTTCTTTGCATATACCCACTTGCACTCAATTGCCTTCTTTCCATTCGGAAGACTAGCTAGTTTCCACGTCTGATTCTTTTGAAGGGATTGCATTTCTTCATTCATGGCGATCCTCCACTTTTTATGTTCTGAACTTTGGATTGCTTCATTAAAAGTGACAGGAACGTCATCAATTGCAATTGGTAATGCAAAAGAGACCATATCAGCATAACGAGCAGGTTGTCTAATGGTTCTCTTTCCCTTTCTGAGTGCAATTGATTCATGTTGTTGTGGAGGTTCTTGGGTCTGAACCTCTTCTTCATCTGACTCTTCTTCTACCATAGGAGAGTCAACACCAGTTTCTTTACTGGCTGGGATAATTCTGCTTCCTTCAAACTCCACCTGTTTGGGAGTTCCATCTGTCTGCTCTAATTTTTCTGAAGTCACCTTTCTCAACATGGTAGATTCATCAAAGGTAACATCCCTGCTGAAGATTATTTTCTTTATTTCTGGACACCAATGATGATAGCCTTTCACACCATAGGTGATCCCCATAAAGATCGCCTTTTTTCTCTTGGATCCAGCTTTGACTCCTTAACATGGTAGTATGCAGTGGAACCAAACACATGTAAGGAATCATAATCTGTAGCAGTTCTCCAAACCATTTCTCTAATGGTGTTTTACCACCAATAGCAGTCGATGGTAAGCGGTTGACAATGTGACAAGCATAGACCAAAGTATCAACCCAAAATTCTTTGCCTAACCCATCATTAGACAACATACACTGAACCTTCTCCACTAATGTCCGATTCATACGCTCTGCCACCCCATTCTGTTGTGGTGTATATCTGACAGTAAGTGCTGATAATACCTTATTCTTCACAGACTTTTAGAAATGGATCATTTTTGTACTCTCCACCATTGTCTGTGCGGAGACGTTTGATTTTTTTGCCTATTTGAGTCTCCACCATCTTTTTCCTTTTAAGGAAAAAACCTAGCACCTCATCCTTTGTCTTCATTGTATACACCCAAACTCTCTAGGAAAAATCATCAACAAATGTGACATAATAGTGTGTTCCTCCCAATGAAGTTGTCTTGGAATGCCCCCATACATCTGAATGAACATAATCCAAAATACCTTTAGTATCATGGATTGTTGTTCCAAATTTCACCCTCGTCTTCTTACCTTTGATGCAATGCTCACAAAAAACTAATTTGCAAGCCCGAGCACCCTTCAATAATCCTTGATCTATCAGCAATTTCAAGGATTTTTCACCAACATGCCCCAAGCGCATATGCCATAATCTGGTTGCTTCTGACTCCTGTTCATCAGTAGAAGCTGTCACTACTGTTGTCCCAACATTGTACTACCCAGAAAGTAATATACATTATTTCTTTTCCGGATTCCCTTCATTATCACCAATGCACCAGAGATAATCCTCATAATCCCATCTTTTGTCCTCACTTCTAAACCTTTTAACTCTAAGGTTCCCACATAGATGAGATTTCTTATTAAATCTGGTACATAATGGACACCTATTAAGGTTCTGATTGATCCATCCTGATTCTCAAGCGAATTAAACCAATCCCAAGTATGTCAAGAGGGGAATTATTTGTTGTGTAGATAATTCCACCTTTTAGTTCTTTAAAATCAAAGAACCATTCTCTATTGGGGGTCATATGGTGGCTACAAGCTGAATCTAACAGCCATGAACTGGAACAGCTGGTTGATGGCGTAGCAGCGAATGCGAAATCTGAATCTGCATCATCATACTCGACCATATTTGATTCTGAGACATCCTTTCCCTTTTCAGGTTTGCCTTTATTCTTTAGCCTGGGACATTCTTTCTTCTAGTGCCATTTTTCTCAACAAAAGGCACATTCATCTTTGCTCAATCTGGACTTTGACTTCGATCTCTCTCTCTTTCATTTATTCTGACTCTTCGAACGACCTCTAACGACAAGAGTTTCTGCTTTGACACTTGTGTTTTCTTGTTTGTCTTTCTTTCTCAATTCATAACTATACAAGGCAATTGTTACTTCACTGAGAGACACATCAACCTTCCCATGAAGTAGAGTAGTTTCAAGATACTCAAACTCATCAGGAAGTGATCCCATCAACATCAGAGCCAGATCTTCGTCTTCAAAAGTCACATCCATATCATCAGATCAGTCACCAGCTGATTAAAGCTAGTAATGTGATCATTCATAGTGGTACTGGTACATAGTTGAAGCGGAACAATCTCTTTTTCATGTAGAGCTTGTTCTGACTGCTTTTCTTCAAATATTTCTCCTCCAGTGCCTTCTACAATTTACTTGCAGAAGTTTCCTTAGTACTTCTGCTCTCTAGAAAGATACGATCGAATAGTATCATATGTCAATCTATTGATCCTCCTCCATTATTTCTCCTCAACATCATATGGTTTCTCTCCTTCAATAGCAATGTCTAGACCCTGCTGAAATAGGGCATCTAGAACCTCACTTTGCCACATGCCGAAATGACCAGTGCCATAAAAAATATCCACTGCAAATCTAACATTTGTCACAGTATTTCTTGCCAAAATTAAAGATGAAGAAACTATTGACGACGATATGGATGTTTTTGTGTCGTCTGTCATTTCTGCTACAAATTCTATTTAATAGTTGTCAATGCGGAATGTCAATTAGCCCAAGAAATATTTTTTCTGATGTGGAATATCAGCCTAAGCCACAACCACAAAGCATACCAAAATAAACCAAGAGCTTTGATGTCAATTGTTGGGGAATTCGGGTTAATTTCCACCAATAATAAAAAATTCGCCTTGAAAACTATTATCTAGGTGACTAGTGTGAAAACGATTGTACTAAAAATCACCCCAAGGTAAATTCCCAGGAAAGAGTGGAGGGGTCACAATGATCCCTATTAAAACTCACTCTCCTTAGACAGAACTACCAAAACAAGTAATTTTAATAGAATAATAATTAACAACTATTAAATAGACATAAAAGAGAACACCAAAATTTAACGAGGTTAGGCCAAAATTAAACCTATGTCCTCAAACACTGCTAAAATAATATTTCACTAATAGAGAAAATATTACAAAGAGAGAGAAAGATTACAAATAGTCTTTAATATAGAAGAAAGTTTATATTTGTGGGATGCTAAACTAAGGAGAGGATGGCTCTATTTATAACAAAATAATTTCCCCTCCTCCTTTATACAAAACCAATGTGGGATTCAAAACTTACCAAAAAACCAACAGTTATCATTCAATATGAATTTTAGAATTCCAACATAAAAAAATCAGCAAAATAGGTATCTAACTGGAAAAAAATAGAGAAAGATAGTATAATAATTGTCTCTAAATATATAGAATAAAATTATATTATTATCCTGGATCAAGTCGGGTTAGAGATTTCTCACCTTAGATTCGAACCCGACATGACCTTGTCTTTCACAACACCAAAATCAATTTGACCCAAACTTGATTTAGAAAAAATGATAATGTCGTATCCACTTGAAACTCGTCAGATTCAAGTAAATTATCATAATTTCGACATTTCTTCCTATTTAATAGAACTTGTCGTACACTCAATTTGTATATGATTTTTCTTAGTTGTTAATTGAATTTAGAAATTTAAGTATTAAAAATTATTATATATTAGATTTCTTCCTCGTTAATATAAAAAAAATATGAAGTAGAGTTAATGAAAGACGAAATCTTAAAATTTGTTTTGAGTATTTATAATAACATCTCCTTTGCTTAACCACGAAGTTGCATATATTTAAAAGCTTAGCAGTGTAAATATGCTTTGGAAACTGCATTCCTCCATCTACATTTTACTACAAAATTAAACGAACATGCAGAAGAATACTTTCCCTTTCCTTTTGCGTGAAGCTTCACGTTGCTTCAACTTTTGACCGTCATTCATTTGGAAATTTAAACTGCAACTCTCCGGCTAAACAAAAATAAAATATTACAACGAACAAGGAAAACCGTTAAAATATTTAATTCATCATAAATTTAGAAAATTTATGTTGAATGTATCGCCATTGAATTTTGACATAATTAAAAAAATTCAAATAAATTAAACTGCCACGGCATTGCTTCCTTTTACAAGATACTGGCTTTGACAAATTCCACATTTTTACTTCACAAATTATGATCAGTAGAATACAGACACACAGGGATGGACCTAGAGGGGCGGGTTGGAGCGGTCGTCCCCCTAAAAATTTCAAATCATTATATATTTTAGATATTTTCTTTGTATTTTTTGTTGAAGCTCCTATAAAATTTTATAAGTTCGACAATCCTTTAAAATTTATAAATTGGCCCCCTCTAACATAATATTTCGCGTCCGTCCCTGTAGACACACAGAACTAGTCGTATTGAAGATCAAAGAATAGTCAAATAGACGAGCCGTTAGGTAGCCTAATATTTGCAGTTTTATTTATTTGATATAATTATATACATTTTTCATGTATTTAATTAAAAATGTTTATATAAAATTATGATCAAAATCGTTTAAATTAAAAAAATATTATCTTTTATGAAATTTGAATTGGTTTAAACAATTGTAGATAACTTAGACTCAACTTATATGAAATTTAAAATTATTTTTTGAATTAATTTCATCATATGTCCCCAAACTATAACCCTCATTTTAAATTGATCCTTAAGCTTTTGAATATTATAATTTCATCCCTAAAATATGAATCTCATTTTAAATTAGTCCTTAAACTTTTGAACATTCTAATTTCATTCCTAAATTATGATCCTCTTTCTAAATTGGTCCCCAAACTTTTGAATATTCCAATTTCATCCCCTAATTCATCCAAATATGTAATTAGTTTCAATCATAGTTAACCTAAATTTTATTATTTTTTTGAAACATGTAATAAGCTTAACGATTCATTAACAAGGGTTGTGATTAGTATATACATATAGTTTGGGATGAAATTGAAATGTTCAAAAAGTTTGGGGACCAATTTAGAATGTAGGTCATAGTTTGGAGACTAAATTTAATTGTTTAAAAGTTTGAGGACTAATTTAGAATGGAAGTTATTGTTTAGGAATGAAACTAAAATATTTAAAAATGTAGGGACCAATTTAAAATGAAGAACATACTTTGAGGACATGTGATACACTTAACTTGTAGTTTTTTATAAAGTTAAAAATTTTGAATAGAAAATTGATGCTATATAGTTAAATATAAAGATAAAATTTTACATTTTTTAAATTGAAATTGAATATAATAATAATAATAATTAAAATACTTAAGGGTGTCAAAAGTCCTCAATTTTTTTAAAAAAATAATTAAGTCCTTAAATTTTTATTAAACCAAATTAACTCTATAATTTAAATTTTTATCAATTCACCCCCTTTAACCAATATTGCTTATTAAGTCTAATAGTTTTTTAGATTAATTGGTGTCAAATGTCGCATCATGATATTGTCCAGTAGCATTTTCACAAATTTATTATTTTTAATGAAAATTTAGATTTTCTTAAGTATTATTTTAGAATTTCAATAATTTTCAAAATTTATTTAAAAAATCTTTAAATTTCACGTTGCAGAATCACAATTTATGTGACAATTATATTTCTAGATTTAACGCTTAAAATTAATCAAATAATTTAATTATTTCAATTTTTATTTAGTATTTAAATAATTTAATATTATATTTTTTTTGGATAATTCAGCTTTTATTATCCAAAGAGCATAATTTGTGACAAAAAATAATCAGGGTTCAGAACAAAAACGATTTACATACAAAAAGAATAAATGATCAACTATATCTCAATGATTACAGAGTGTAATATTAACACTATCAACTCTATTGATATTCCTACCCCTAATTTGTAAACTTACAATATCCTTAATTGCCTTAAAAATTTCTTCAGCAGATCTGGATCGACCTTGGAACACCCTTTTGTTTCTTTCTTCCCAAATTACGTAGATGAGTGCATTGAGTACGATCTTCATGACCATAGTTAACAAGGATTTGCCTTTTCATGTTGAGCAAGCCCACGCTGTGAATGTTTCCCATGGGCAAGCAGTAAAATGCAAACCAGAAAGTGAGAAAACAGTTTTCCTAATGAAGACTGCAGTTGGACATTTTAGAAAAAGATGCTCCCTTGTTTCCATTTCAGAATTGCAGAGGACGCAAAGACTTTCGTTGATAAGTCCATTTTTTGAAGCATTTCCTTTGTCGGGAGCCTATCAAAAAAATCATCAAGCTATCAACTATGCTTGGGAATATACAAGGGAAACCATAAAAGTTTCTGCTGGGGGACCTTAGGTTTCTTCTCCCGGATTGAGTCCCAAATTGTAGTAGCTTTTAAAGCTCATGATGACAGTACTTGGTGTGCCTTGGTCTTAGCTTCGGTAATATTATAATTTACGGTTCAATTTATACAAAAAAAATTAATTTTTAATTTTTTTAAAAAAAATCGAAGATTTTTTCTTCATGTACCTTAAGTTTATCCAGTGGCTGCCATCTCAGCAGTGCATACCCAATCAACATGTGATCTGCTTTGTGAACTAATATAGTAGGGAAGATTAGCAATGAGGCAAACATAGGTAATGAATAGGACTTTGTTAAGCAAACAAGCGTGGAGACATTTTACACGGCATTTTGAGCTCAATAACGATGAACTCAACCGACTTGAAAATATATAGTGTACATTTGACATGATCCGATTTGAAGAGTATTTTTTTATCTGAATTTGATTTAATTTATTTTTTTAGAGTATAAACTTGATACGATTTTGAATAAAATAAAAATTTAATTAAAAAATTTAAAGAGAAATAGTATTATAGTAATTATCCATAATTTATATAAAAATTATACTATTATCATCAGATTGGTTCGGATCGAAGATTGTTCACCCTTCACCTGACCTGACCTCATCCTATATAAAAATCAACCCAAACCTAATTTTTTTATAAAAAAAAATTAACCCTATCGAATTAAGTTAGAATCTATTAATTTGGAGTTAAATTACCGTTCCTGCTCAAGAACCACTTTAATGAACAATATTGATTTGAGGCTGTTATGCATTTGATGAAAAGGGAAATTGTTGTGTAATAGAATGATAGTTGATGGTTCATAATAGGGGTGAATGCACTAAATTCCTTAAGATAACAGTGTGTACTTGTTTTTTTTTTTTAAAAAAAGAAAAGATAAATTTAATTTAACATGTTTAGGAGGGAGAAAAGTTTACATAAAAGAATATTAAAATTTTATGTGCATATTTAAATTTTTAGATATTTAATGAAATCGTGCATAATTCTGAGCATCAATGGGTTAGGAAAGTAAATAAGTGAAACAGTGGAAAGAGTGTTTGTGGCAGCCTGGCAGGGAGCCTCCTCTTTCTCCCAACTCAAATGATGAACATCAGCCTGAAAAGTAAGTCGAGGGCATGAATGCTGAGGGAACTGCTACTGAAGTTGGTCAAAGTAGTGATGCCACCCGATGGATGCTACATAATCTCTCTTGTTCAGGGACGGATAGAAAAACAAATAAAAACAATTGTTCTTTCAAAAAAATTAAAATTATTATTATATATTTTTATTAATAAGCTACTTTCATCTCATAAAATTTTAAAATTCTTAAAGTATACGTGGTTATCAATGTTAACGGAAAGATACATCGTTGTGTCCATTTTTACAAATCTTGTGATCTTTTGACTAGAAAAGATCCCGACATTAATATAAAGGTATATTTTATTGTCTTTAATAAGAAAATAGGTCTTTTAGGTGAATGGGGGATGGGCCTAGAATAACAAATGGAGAGGCCTGGGCCTGCACTCCTAACCCGATAACAAATGGAGGGGGGCCGTTTTCGAAAAGGGAGTTTCTTGAGTAAAGGGAAAACGAAAACTTGAAACTTTTATATAGCATCGGATCATTACTTCCGTTTTTCTACTTCTTCTTCTTCTTCTTCTTCAATTGATCGATCTATACCCTTGAATCAGAATGAATGTAAGTTATTCCGTTAATTATCTTTAAATACCCACTATTGTGTTCTTACTCTAGCACTTTCTACTTTAAAAAATAGCACATTTTTCTTTTTACTTTTTTTTCCATCTTCATTGTTGATGTTTTTCCCTAATGCAGTTCATGGCTTCAAAGCAACCTGAAAATAGCTTGCTCGGCCCCGAATCTGACTCTCAAAGGACTCTGTATGTTATTTATCTGATTTCAGCTGAACTAGGGTTTTCTTTTGATGTTGGGTATTTGAAAATTCCCTCTCTTTTTTTAATTGATAGGTACCCATATGTGACTGGAACATCAGTTGTGGCTTTAAAGTATAAAGATGGGATTTTGATGGCTGCTGATATGGGAGGTTAGCTCATCACTTCCATAAGAAATTTTCTTTTTCTTCTGGATTTTTGTTTGTTGGAGTTGGTTTTGTTATTTGAAGTAGATAATGCTCTTGAAAAGGCATGCAAGTGGAAGAAAAAAAAAGTTATGGCCCTATTTAAAAGATATCAACTAGAAGCAACCTTGATCCGAAGTCTTTTCCTTTTAACTTTTTGGATTGTGATATGAATTTGAATTATGGAATGATCCTTTTTCAACCCTTTGATGCTTTATGTAATGTTTTTATTTTCCTTAAAAAACAACAAAGTTGGTTTTGATTAGAGGATGGGTATTGCCAAGTAGCTTAAGAATTTTAGCATTTAACATAGTATTTTAGTACTTCTAAGTACCTTAACAACTTTAGTGTTTAACCCTTTTTCAACCTGTTGTAACTTGTGATGGAAAACATTTATGTTCAAAATCTGGTCATAGTATTTAACATACACAGCATTTGATACAATGCTTGTTTGATGGTATTCTCTAAATGATCATTACTTTATATAGGATCCATATGTTTGTTTAATTGTAACGTCATTTGTATAATTAGGATTTCATTTTAGATTTCTTATGCTGTCAACTCTATTGTGCAAAGCGAGTAACATAATTCTCCTCATGGGGAGGGATTAAAGAGGTCTTGTTGAGGCATTTTGCATTATTGCTAGATTATTATAGAGAGAAATGGAGTTGGAAGTTGTTTAAGGCTCTCTGTACTTGTCAATGTCATGCTCTTTCACATTGAAGTCCTTATTCCTTATTTATTGTGGTTTCTCCTAAAACAAGTTATGCAATTGCGAGGGAAATACATTTTGCTTATGGTTCACTTTCCATGCATGCTTTCTACCTTTTGGTTTTCATTCTCCTTCCTCTTCCATGTTCTCTTGTTTTCTGCTGGAAGTCTGCTGTTTCAAGTATCCTAGCGTTTCTCTAAAGCTGATATGCTCTCATTTGATACTTATTGCCCAACTGATTGGTCCCTGCTTTAAATACACCCATGAATGCGCTTGTTTTATGTTTGAATCCTGTTAATTTTCAGGTTCTTATGGGTCCACACTGAGGTACAAGAGCGTGGAGCGAATGAAACCTATTGGAAAGCATTCTCTTCTGGGTGCAAGTGGTGAAATCAGTGATTTCCAAGAGATTTTGCATTATCTTGATGAGCTTATGTAAGAATTGACCGAGTCACTAAGATTATTAGCACTTTTGTTTTGGTTATTCTTTCATGAGTTATCTTATTCCATTACCCCCCTGAACTTTCATCTGGGTTTTATTGGGAAAATTCTGACATAAAATTGTTGCATTTTGATGTTTGATTATTGTAGCTTGTATGACAATATGTGGGATGATGGAAACTCTTTGGGGCCTAAAGAGGTGCACAATTACTTGACTCGAGTCATGTATAACAGACGTAACAAGTTCAATCCATTGTGGAACTCCCTTGTACTCGGTGGAGTTAAAAATGGACAAAAGTATCTTGGAACAGTAGGTTCAAAGTTTCACCATCTAGTGTTCAGAAATGAGCTACTTGCAGTTTTAAGATTGTAACTGACCATTTTTATAAGTATGATTCATCAGGTGAGTATGATTGGTGTGAACTTTGAGGACAATCATGTTGCAACTGGGTTTGGAAATCACCTTGCACGACCAATTCTTCGTCAAGAGTGGCATGAGAACTTGAGCTTCGAAGATGGTGTTAGACTACTGGAGAAGTGCATGCGTGTTCTGCTCTACCGTGATAGATCAGCCATTAACAAGCTTCAGGTTTGATCTCCACTTTTAACTTCTGAACTCCATTTTCATAAAAATAAAATAACAAATAATCCATGCTATTTGAAGCAATTTCTAGAAAAATGTGCATGGTCTTCTGCACTTTTCTGTTGGTCAACAGTCTATCCAATGGATATTGCTATTCTTATAGACTAACTGGCATTTATCGCATCCTGTTCGATTTTAATGTATGCAACTTAGTTTGATGTATTTCTCAGGCTGGCTGTTAATCAAGTCTATTTGTCGATCGATCTTTACTTGACAATCTGAGGCAAAACTTTGATATTGATGTTTCATTGATTGCAGATAGCTAAGATCACTGAAGAAGGCTCGACAATTTCCCAGCCATATTCATTGAAGACCTACTGGGAATTCTCTGCTTTCGCAAACCCTGCACAGGGTGCTGTGGGATCATGATAGATGTGGCGAACATTTCATCCCTTTCAGAAACTATGCGATCATAACAAGAGAAACACTAAACAGAGAATTTATTGCATGTTTTATGTCTGGTTGAAACTTATGAGTTTGAAGATGATTATCATTTGATTAATGCGACAGTTATGCTTTTTTTTCACTTTACTGTTCTGATTTCTTAACCTCCGAGTGCTGTTACCATTAATGATGAATTAATGGCTTTTGTGAATTAAAATTCCAATCGATCAAATACTATCGTTAGCAATCTAAAAGATCAGAAACTGCTGCTCATCTTCTGATAATAAAATCAAAGAACCATGCCGGATCAAACTATACATTAGGCATCCGAGTCCGTAAAATGGATATGGACAATGTTTTATATTGTAATATATCATATAATTTTCTGTTGTTAACTTTAGAAAAACGTGAGAGAATAAATTGAATGGATATGTAAACCATAGGAATATGCCCACTTACAAATGGAAATGCACTAGCATTTGAACTAAAATCGAGGGTCAAAAGAGAAAAGGCTTCTTTGTTCCTCTGTAGGATTCAACAACCATCGGCAGAACATCCATGCAGCTGCAACTACTGATAACAACGACAGCATTGCTAGAAAACCGAAATGTGAAGCATCATTTGCGATTATGGCAACCCCCAACATCAGTGACTCGGCTAAACTTGCAACAGAAATCTCTGTTGTTCCAATAAGATTCGCTTTGGATGAGGGGATTCCTGTCTGCAGTATCTGGGCCACAACAATATCATACGACATATGACCCAACCTTGATAATACCTGCACACAAGGTGAGGATGATTCAGGTATCATGCATATGTTAAACCGATCGTCGTGTTTTCTTCACTCTTCATATTTTAGACGACCATGTTATAAATTGCTACAAGAATTTCCTAAAATGATGTCAGATCTCCCGGCCTTCAGTAGAGCAACCGATAACTTGTTTGAGACCTTTAGGGATCTATTCGTCTCTTCCTGGTGCTATTAGTGGATAACTTGTTAGATTCCTAGTTTCCTGAGGCAATTCCGGTTGTGCTCTTTTTAGATTCCTAGTTTCCCGAGGCAGTTCGGGTTATACTAAAGTAATGTAGTTGATGCAGAAACATGAAAGTCTAAAGATGTTCTTACAATCAAACATAAGAAGACAAGAAGGGGACTCCTGTGGGCAAGAGATCCACGCTGGTAAACAGCTACAGCTATGGTGAGAAGTGAAGCCTGAAAAATTAATCCAACTGCTCCAGCCTGTTCGAAGGGAAAATGGCCAATCAGCCCCAAAATAGAAAATTTCAGCAGACAAAACCAACACAAGAACCAACCTTTAAGATGCCGAATCTCTTGACCAAAGTTGAAGATTGAAGGTTGCTGCAACACCCATAAAAGCACATAATCCACTAAACCCCCCCAATAATAGATGGATTTAAACCTGTTAAACAAACCCACATAGCACTTTGGAGTCAAAAAAAAATCTGCAATAATAAAAGGTTACTTTCCTCACCTTAAATATAAAATCTATTCAAGGAACCAGAAGTAATCTAGCAAATGAAGAAAAAAATACAGTAATTTACAATCAACTACACAATATGAAGCGACTTCAGGCATATCAGTGCATACAATACTTTAAATATCAAATTTAGACACTCTATTAGCATGTTCTTAGAATAATGATTATTTTAAGCCTCATTCGCTGTAATAATTTTTTTCCGTTGGTTATCTTTCTGAAGTTCTCCTCAAGACTGGGACCAAACTATAAACAATCAGGAGATTTGCATCAAAATAGATAGAAAAATACCACACTGAGTTAAAAACGCCGTCATTAAACTTCCAGGAGTAAGAACAACATTGAAGTAGAGGAGCACATAAGCTAGGCTTGCAGGAAGGACTGGCTGATGTATGTATTCTCTCAATCCGTGCTTGATAGCTCCCAAACCAGTATTAACTGGTCATCCACAAAACAGAATCACTTAATATAGCAAGCATAAATCAATTTTCGGGAAAGGTGCAACCGCTAAATAGAGCAAGAAGGAAAGTTTGAATTTGTATAGTAATCAGATGAACAAGTTTTACCAAAGTTATCAGAATCTGGAAGCAGACCCTCGTCAGATGATATGCAACAGGATTGTGAACACTTAGCACGGTCAAGAACTCCAGTAGAAAGTTTGTTTGTTAACCATGTCAGAGCAATCTGAAGAAAGTTGATAGAAATTAGAAGAGGAAGTACATCCTTTCTCCAAATAATATAGATAATCAGAACAAGAGTATAAGCAATTACCATAACAGGTAATGACCACATCATCAACCCAGCAGCAAACTTTAAGCAGTTTACTGGATCATATTTAGAGAGAAGAATTCCAAATAATGAAGTGCCAACTATCTGCAATTATGCATGATAATGAATCTCTCGTTCAGAAATTTCTTGTGTAACTTGATTGCCAAGATAACTGCAAGCTTATAAAATTTCCAGCATTTATTTAGGATTCAAACTCTATGGATTACAAGCAAACCAAGAATTATGATGGCTTGAACCAAGAAAGATAACGTCAAGGTCCAATGTTAACAGAATATTAAAGAGCTTCAGATTTATCAAATACCTCACAGAGCAGGTCAATTCGATTGAGAACAGCATTTGCTTCTGCCAGGGCAATTGGTCTATTTATTCCAGCTAACTGTAAACACAATAACTTTAGTTCAATTCAGGGTCCATTTTCCTAGAGATAGATGACCAATGTTTCCTGAGAAGAAAACAACCAAAATGCACGGACTGGTATTACCAGCACAACCCAGTCGCGCTCCATGGCAACCCCCAGTGCCACTCCAGATAGCCTCTCAATAGCTCCTGCTAACAGTAGCACAGCAAACCAAGGACGTAGAAGAATAGATGAGGCAGAAGTAGAAGAAACTGTATGAGCATGAATTATCATCGCCGCCGACAACAACTGAGCAGAAGCCTTGTAGATCCAATAAATTTAGAAAACAAATTAGGACAGTGTTAAGTATACATTAATCTTGAACAAAAAAATGTTATTTTTTGTACCTGAATAACATTCAAAAAGATATATGAAGGTACTCTTGGAGAATGATCCATAAGTTTGCCAACCAATGGGCCTCCAATGATGATAACAAGCTATTAACATAAATTCAGTTAGAAAGTATTCCATTATTCTTGCTATATATTGTGAATTCATGTTGTTAGACTAATCTATACCTTAGTGAAGAATCCCATGACAGCCACCGGTAGAAGGCTCCGATGAAGCAACGCGATAGCAGAAGGCCAAGCAAAATTCCAAAGCTGTTCCACTACATTTCCAGCCAGGCAACTTGCATAAAATGCTGAAACATGAATGTCTTTAAAGTTAGCAGCCGGTAATACCAATTTAGTGAAACGATAGAACAAGATACAAAAGTACAAGACATTATAGTTGATATAAACAAATTTGACTCATTTAAGATAATGCGTTGAAATGAAACAGTGTAGCAACTTTCCAGAACTTGAAGATATACAATCTAGGGGGGAAATAGGTTAATTATGCTCTAAATGACAACTTGAAAGAAACTCAATCCCAAAACCACAAGGATTGTGGATGGGTACAACAACTAAACTACTTAACACGATGTTATATTCTTATGGCTTAAAGAACAAAATAGAATCAGTTTATGTCTTTAAGAGTATAAGAGCTATTCTACTGTGCTATAAAATGAAAATAGAATGTCATACCATATAATGCCTCTGGGTGAGCTGGAGTTCCAGCAAGAGCTTTCTGTTCCTCCTCTGATAATACCTAAATAAGAAAGAGAATAGAACAAGAGGAAAACGTTAAGAGGATATTAAACTGGTAAACCAAGAGGAACATGCCGGGATTGTTGTCAAGAGACTATCTACGTAAGTATCCCCTGTTAGTATGTTCAAAGATTCAGTCTGAAGAACATCAGATTTAAGCTGAACTATTGGAGTTGTACTTGTACAAGAACAATCACTACTTTTTGCAGATAAATCCTCATCCTCGGTAGCCACATGGTTGAAGTGTACATCAGTATTTATTATTGAACATCTCGATTTGAAGCTGTCAAAACTATGACTAAACCAAAAAAAAATGCTAGCTGCCTCATTAAACAGCTTTTTCAGAACAAATTGCAGACTAATTCAACCTTGAACCACAGGTCCTTAAAGCAATAAGACATTGCATCAAAATTACAATTGCCAAATTAAACTTAGAGAAACCAATTAACTAGTTACCTATGAGTAGAAGTGGAAGGGGAGTTGAGATTCAACCATCGGCTAGAAAAGAAGCGATGGCGAATTCCACAAGCAGCTTGTCTCGATATAAAGGCTTCTCTTCTGGAAACAGAGAAGGTAAACAAATTGAAAGAAAGCTGAGAGTTTGTGACTGCCACCATTGCCATGCTAGCCCTGGCTGTTGCTTATTTAACTTCTTATCACTCCAGAATTTAAAGCACCGATAATCAATTTTGATTTCTTCTAAACTCATGCAGCTTTGAAGGAAACAAATCGAGAATCACACTAAGTAGCAAATTTGGGTTCAGTTAGATAGCAAATGCTATCTGGGTTCAAACGAGTTAAAAAGAAACAAAACTTGAAGTTGAAATTCTTCAGTTTTTGAGATACAAAAAATGCTATCTGGGTTTATAGCAAATTGTTTGTTTTCCCCCAAAGAAAAAGTGGAAGCTTTGAACTGGTTCAGTTTCTAGATAACAAAAAAAAATCTGGTAAAGGTATAGCCTTTGGATTCTTTATTATTCGTGAAGCATAAAGAAGGGTTTGGGAAAGCGGAGTTGTTGAAGAACGTGGAGGCTTATCCTACGAGGGTATGAATTTCTGTGTAAGAGTCCGGCGGTCAGCGGAGAGGCGTAAGGGAAAGGCGGGGAAGATTGTGTGGCCATTAGATTTGATGGGTGGCGCCAGGCTTGTGGATGTGGGTCCATTACAAAGCTAGATTCTTTATTGCTTTTTTTGCCAAGTTTCCATTTTTCCTTTGCCCAACAGCACTCGGCGTAAAGATGGCAAGCCAAGTTGCCTTTCGATTTAAATTCCCACATTTAGCAGCCAAACCTTCGGAGGTTTTTTTTTTTGGTAAACAACCTAAAACAATTAACACTTAATTTATTGAATTATTTTAAATTAAGATTAA